TCTGGCTCGGTCGCAATCGTTATTGTACTTTACTGCTTGATGGCTGTCTCTATGTCCATGCTCCTCCCTTATGATCTGGTCCGTTGAAAAAACAAATTATTTATTTTATTATTAATTTTGACGGTGATGATCATGTGTGTGTGTGTGTGGGCGCAGATAGATCCTGAAGCACCGTACTCGGCGGCGTTTAGCAAAACGGAAGGTTGGGAATGGGTGACGAAAGTGGTTGGGATTGGAGCAAGTTTTGGGATACTGACGTCGTTGTTGGTGGCGATGTTGGGTCAGGCTCGGTACATGTGCGTCATCGGACGGTCAAGAGTGGTCCCCACTTGGTTCGCTAAGGTCCATCCCAAGACATCAACACCAGTCAACGCTTCCGCTTTTCTTGGTAAGTTAAACAGGTTCTGTCTTAACTCTTCAACATTTTTAATTTTATTCAATTAAATTAGTTTAATAATATAATTAAATCTTAAGGAAAAGTTTAGAAATAACAACGTAAATCCCGTGAAAATTTAAATATAACGTTGCGTTGGATTTTTCCTATCGTCAGAGATCGGTTTATGTTTCCTCTCTGTTTTATTTTCATCAAGTGATAAAGAGACAATGAGTGGGGACCCAATTTCAAAACATTTATTTTTTGTTTCCATGATCTTTTTGGATTTGAGTGTAATGTGTAGACCAACACTTTCCACGTGATTACATACATATACGTGTACAATAGAAGAAAACAAAACGAAAAAAATCAAATATTTCTTTAAATAATATTTTCCAACTAATTCTGATTGTGAGTGTGGCTGTATTCGTGTAGTTCTTCCTGACTGTGTGACTATATTAATGTAGGCCACTTATTATGTTCTTATGTGATTTTCTTGGTGCTGGTTCTTTATTTAGAACATAGAATCCGACAAAATGTCGTGCTCGTGTTCATCGACTGGGTTCAAAAGTTCAGTCTTTTCAACGGTCATGATCGTGACATATTGTTGGGTCTTTTTGGTCTCTTTTTGTCCTTTTACGTTACCTTTTCAAGTTCTCTGTTTTGTAACTTTACACAAACTTATGCGCATGACATCTTTTTTAGGTCAGGCCACTGGTCTTGCCACTAATATAAAAATTGGCTAATTATTGTTGTGTAAGATCTTTTGGTGAATCATTATCTAAATTATAAGTTACCCGAAATGGTCAAGTCCTGTCGTGGTAGCGAATCTAGACCCACAAGTTACTTTTGTTTGCATATTCGTTTGTGTAAGCATTGTTTTTCTCTTTCATATATTACTAATCTGACGAGTTTGGATACTATATATTATAAACCGAAAACTATTAATAAACAACATATACTTATGTTTTAGACTTTCTAAAAGACTATAACCCATCTTATAAAGAAAGGTTTTTTAAAAAAAAATTTAGAAATCTTGAGACTTTTGATCTAGTCTTTTTAGACACACAGAAGATAGATCTTGAACGTGGAACTAAACTCTAATCTTTACAAAAAGAAAATACTATTATCCACCAAACTAATGGAATAAATTTCTCCAGTATCTTCAAATTGTTTTTGTTACAAAATTAGCTTTATACATCTTATAATATATCGGCGTTATAAAATACTAATATGAATGATTGATCTAATTAAAGAATATGGATCTTAATTAGCATATCCTTCTACTCAAATGCTAATGTTGTATTGTTTCTACAGGGATCTTCACGGCGGTGCTCGCACTGTTTACAGACCTAAACGTTCTTCTAAATCTCGTTTCAATCGGAACCCTCTTCGTATTTTACATGGTTGCAAACGCTGTTATATTCCGGCGTTACGTAGCGGTTGGATACACCGAACCCTGGCCTACACTCTCCTTCCTTTGCCTATTCTCCATAACCTCAATTGTCTTCACCTTAGTCTGGAAACTAGCACCCTCTGGTTCACCAAAATGGTTCATGCTTGGAGCCAGTGGTGTGGCGGCTATTGTCATCGTGCAAATATTCCATTGTGTTGTGCCTCAAGCTAGAACTCCTGAGTTTTGGGGAGTACCGTTGATGCCGTGGACTCCATGCGTTTCCATATTTTTGAACATATTTTTGCTAGGATCGCTGGATGCTCCTTCGTATATCAGATTCGGGTTCTTCTCGGGCTTGGCGGTGCTCGTGTATGTGTTTTATAGTGTTCATGCGAGCTATGATGCTGAAGGAGATGGATCTCTTGATTTCAAAGACTTGGAAAGTCATGAAGGAATTAACAGAATTTTGAGTTAAAAAATTGCTTTATAGTAGAAAAAACTTGTTGAAGCTTGTTTTGGTCTAAAAACTTCTAGGGGTGGTTTAACAAGTTTGTTTTATTTGAACAAAACAGCCAATATGTTATTGAGTTGGGCAAGTAGAGGAGAGACTCGAGAGGGCGTATTGGTACATAAGATTATAAGACCTTAAATTGGGGAATTTGAAGTATATATATATATATATATTGTGTTATTTGACATCGTGTTTAATTTTGATATGTACAGTAACTATTATATAGGTGAATCTGAAGTTATCTTAAGAGAACGAAAGTACATTTGTGATCAGCGATCAACTGATCATCTAACGACCGTATCCCCATGAAGGAGATATGTGTTTTAACCAAAGAAAAAAAAATGTAAATTAAAGTCAAAGCCGCTGACAAAAATAAAGATCAACGACTTTTGTAGCAATCAAGGCAAGTTGCAAAAAGAAGAAACTAGTGAATGTCAATTGTCAGAGTCATAGTCACAGACTCGCAGGCTTGCCTCCACTTGTCATGACTTTCAAGATGTTGACACTTGACAGTGTGCATCTCTTGATTTTCATTGACCTCTTTTTTACTTTCTCAAAGATTGTTTTTATTTTGACATTCGCTTTACGGAAATAGAATATTCTGTTTCCTACAAAAGCAAAAAAAATATTCGAAAGGGATTAAAATAGGAACAATCCCAAGTATAATAATAAAAATATTAAAATATTCAATTCGATACTCTTTATCTTATATGCACATGCTCAAGTTTGTACATAGAAAAGTAGTTGATAAAGATCGAAATATAATTTGTACAAATGAAATTTGTCTTCCTCCACAATATTTTTCAACATTGAGGATTCTTTTGATTAAATGCTCAAAATAATAGCAAGTGTTGGCAACTTGCAAGATCTGATATAATTATACTCCACCAATAAAAGTAAAAGAAAGTTATTCCATTCGTTATGTCGAAAAGTAGCTGTGCTAATTATAATTCAAGTCGTGCAACTATATGTATCATATGGTATAATGTGTTTTAACATCCCGAAAAGCCTCTTGATACATGATTTTAATAACTCAACTGGAACTTAAAAGAAAGAAAACATCATTAAAAATACTGTAAATTCAGTGTTCTTAGGAATGTTATGTCTAACCAGTCTTGAAGTAGAACTTGGCTTCTTCCAAGAGTCATCAACTTGACATAGAGAATTACTCTTCATGGTCCCAATGTAATCAACTTGTTAGTCACATGAAAGCCTATACAATGTATAACTATGGTAGGCTTAGTTAAGGATAAAACTCCAAATATATATGGTTGTCATACAGAACTAATAGCAGAATCATGGGCCTAACGTTAAGGCCTGTTAAAATGGGCTTTCTCAAATTCGTGTATGCGTGTAATAGGCCTTGGTAATAGGTAAGGGTCAAGATAGTATATGCCTTGTAAAGAAATCCTACTAAAAAGGGCTTTGATAGTATATGCCTTGTAAAGAAATCCTACTAAAAAGGGCTTTGTCAAATTCGTTTATAGACTTTGTCCCCGATGGGTCAGCCGCTGGAACCGATGAGGTTAAGGTTAAAAAGAGACTCTAGAGATGCTTGCTTCTTTAGGAATGTCCCGGGTTTTCTCAAGTAGAACCACAAGCCTTGGCACCAGGCAATGTGTTAGATTTTAAGAGCATTTCTAATGCAACGTTGGAGAGATAACAAGAGTTGGGTTTGACTTGTGAGAACCTCACCGGAACCCTTCTTTCCACTTTTACCATATGACTTTTTTTTTTGTCAAGTCACCATATGACTTATCTAAACTATTTAATTTACGTTTAAATTAAATTATTTAAATACAGTTAATTAAATTAACAATAGTAATAACCCAAGAACCCAGCCAATAAATTTGTTCTGAGAGCACCTCCAACTGTAAGATTTAGGTAGAGTATCACAGAAAAAAATTCAAAAAATATTTTAAAAACATGACAGAGAAGAGAAACAAGTTTTGGCAAGCCATTATAGGAGAACTTCACACATTTTAAAGAATTCTATATGGCTACATGTCCTTCTATTATTGGATTTGTTTTTAAAAATAAAGCAAAAAAACTAATCTTTAAATAAAAAAATTAAGTTAATAATAATATTTGGTTGGAGATACTTAATTTGAGTATCAACTAATAAGGTAGGATCTACGACTTTTGAATCTATCATTCTTAATCACAATAACGAGTTAAGATACAAAAAGTTCTGTTCTGATTGCCTATGTTTTATGGATGCATCATTGTTTCCTTGGATTCACAACAACATAATATTTTAAATGTTGAACTACTATTCAAAATTGAATACTCTATCTGATTCATAATATATGATATTTAGGTTTATTGCGCGTTGGATCACTTCAGTTTGACCTAATCATTTTCTTTGAATTAAATCACCGACTCTATTTTTAGCACGTTTAGTAATTTCATAAAATAACTTCTTAAATGCCATAATCAATTATTAATTCATACATACACACTCTCCAATTCGAGAGATGCCCTCCAGTAGAGCATATACTCTATGCATTTTAAGGTGGGTATTACTCGTTAGATATCTGCATATGTAATTTAATAATTCTGTACTAGGATGCATAGTCCAGTCTTCCTCACATGCTTTGCATATTTTATACTTAAATTATCATCTATAAGTCAGATAAACAATACATCCCATTCAACTTTGTAACTCTATATAAAGCCCTAATGAGAGTATTCCAAAGGACGTACAAAACACACAACTTAATTATTATAAACATCTCTCTGCCATTTCCCACCAGCAAAAGATGTCTCGTCTTTTTATTTTTCTAAACATCTTCCTCGTTTTAATCGCAAACACCACATCTTTGACTGAACACAACGCAAACCCAAAGCCAAGACCAAAGCAAAAGCTTCAAAATTTTGTAATTCCGATATTGAAAGACGCCAAAACCAGTCTCTACTACACCACCATGACCGTCGGGAAGCCACCACTCACCGTTAACCTAGTCCTAGACATTAGTGGTTCAGCCTTATACTTCCCATGCGGAGACCTCGGCTATAACTCAACCACCTATGCCCCTGTCCTCTGTGGGTCCCGTGGCTGCCCACAACCTAAAGACGAATGCTTCACTACAACTTGCTACGGCCCCTTCGGACCTACCTGCAGAAACGATACATGTATATCTGCTGATGTCAAGTCCTACTTAGCTGACACCAGTGAACGCAATTATCTACTTAAGGACGATGTGATCCTAAGCTACTCGTCGTCATCATCAGCACACTTAGCCTCAAAACTCGCGGTGAGGGCGCGTTTCGCTTGCGTACCTTTCTTTGATGCTTTGACGAAGCTTCCTTATGGTGCTAACGACATTCTTGGACTCAGTCATAGCTCTACTTCTTTCGTTAATGACTTAGTCTCTTCTTACAAGATCCCCTTCAGAGTCGCTCTTTGTTTACCTTCTAAGTCTGGAAAGGGCTATTCCGGGAATGCTTACATTGGTGGCGGTCCGTACTTGCTACCTCCAAACCGTAAAGATGTCACAGAGTTATTGGTTTCCACTCCTCTGATGTGGGAACACAGACACATTACTAGCTATACCATAGATGTCACATCTATTGAAGTCAACGGAAAGAGGGTCGCTTCTAATAGCAATAAAGGTCCCTGGGGACCTGCACTGGTCGGCAAATCAATCCCTTACACTCGCTTGCATAATTCAATTTACAAAGCTCTTGTTAAAGCTTTCGCAGGGAAAGCTCAGAAGCGAAAAGCCATGGCTCCCTTCACTGACTGCTTTAGCTACAAAAGTTTTGGAGGAAAGACTCTGTTGGGAAAAGAGATTCCAGTGATTAGTTTGGTGCTAGGAGGTGGAGCGAAATGGAATATCTATGGACCAAACTCGCTGGTGAAGGTGACGAAGAATGTTGTGTGTCTAGCATTTGAAGGAGGACACAATGAGGTATATCCAATTGAGATTGGATCATATCAAATGGAAGATAACCTAGTTGAGTTTGATCTTGAAGCCTCAAAGTTTTCTGTCACTTCTACTCTTTTGCGTCACAACGCATCATGTAGTCCGCAGTGATGAGTTACTACAAAGCTCATTACTTATATTATATCATGATCATATTAATAATAAATATATTGGTTAAAGACTCATATGTAAGGAGAGCCTATATATGGGTAGAGCCATGTGAACACAAATTGTGTACATAAGCGATAAAAATACATACATATATTCTCATTCGTAAAAATTGTCTTTCAAATATCATTGTTATTAAAAACAGCAAACAAAATAATATTTTTAAACAATTTTTTTCATTTTTCTACAAATTCGTTGACTAAATTTCGAAAATCAATATTTTAAATATTCTTTTTTCAATAGGTATTAGTGTATTACCTATTTTTTCTTGTGATATACTTGAATGCATATAAGATTTTATCAATTTCAGTTTTTAAAAAATATTTTCAACAAATGCAACCAATACTAACACCTTTCTATCAATACATAATATTATGATCATTATTCACGATTAGACAAATCATGTAAAATTATTCCAACAAATAAAACTAAAGAATAAAGTACTTGGAAATGAGTTAATTATAGTAAATGATGAAAAATAATAAGATGAAAAGTTTTGTCACTATGAAATATTCAATTTCTGAAATAATCGTAATAGAAAAAGATGATAAATCGATAGTGTTATGTTCTTTTGCTGCGCTAACTTTTTTGTAAGATTAACAAGTTGTTCTAAGAAATTAAGTAAGTTTTTCACTAGCTCAAACTTGTTCACTGGAGCTTAGGCAAAATTCAAATTTTGAAAAAACGAATATTAATTTTCTTAAACTTGTTCACTGTGGACTAATTAAGTTCTTTTGACTTCAATACAAAACCTTTATGAAGAAAAGGAATATTAATTTTCATATTTTATTGCAACTGAATCGTGTCAAAAAGATTGAGGTCGCTTTGGATCCAACGCAAGCCATGGGGTCTTTGACTTCAAGCTTACTCACTTGCTGCTTTTTAAAAATAATTTAAATCACCGACTCTATTTTTGTTTCGTCTACTAATTTTACGCGAGGTGGCTGTTACTCGTTACTGATCTGGACATGCCTGGGTATTTTTTGGCCTTGACGTTGCTATTATAACTTTTTTTTGACAAAAGGTTGCTATTATAATAACACATTATTATAGTTGGAAAAATAAAATCAAGAAGAACGTTTTCTATAGTTTTATATATATACTCATTTTAGGGCACGGTGTTGAAAAGTATTTCTTGCCAATCAAAATTTAAAATAAAATTGTAAAGAAATTATTAAAAACATAATTTGTATAGAACGTTAGAAAAATCTTGTTTTTCCAGTTTTTACGGATCCAAAGCAGACCAACAAATCTTTATTTCAGTCTTCCTCGCTTGCGTATTTTACTTTCTTCAATTTCATTAAAAAAATTTGGTCACACGTTTTATAATTTCATTTTTATCTCTTATATACCATGTCAAATGTACATCCCATCCCATACAACTTTGTAACTATATATATGTAATGCCTAGTGAGTACGTACCAGAGCAACAACATAACTCAAACATCTCTAACTTTTTCCCCCACCATAAAAAAATGTCTCGTCTTTTCATTTTCTTAAACATCATCTTCGTTTTAATCGCAAACACGACATCTTTAACCGAACACAACCTGAAGCCAAAGCCAAAGCCAAAACCGCGTACTTTTGTAATTCCTGTCTTTAAAGACACCAGAAGTGGTCTCTACTATACCAACGTGACGGTCGGCAAACCACCAATTGTGGCTAACCTAGTCGTAGACGTTAGAGGCTCAGCCTTATGGTTTGAATGCGAGACGTTGGGCTATAACTCAACAACCTCAACCCCTGTCCCCTGCGGGTCCTCCGCCTGCGAAAAAGCTAAAGATAAATGCTCCACTTGTCAAGCTTACCTCAAATCCGAGTTAACCTTTAACACCCGGATCGCTACTCTTATTAACGACAATGTCATGCTAAGTTACACGTCTCCATCACTTTACGTAGCACCTAAACACGCAGTGAGGGCGCGTATAGCTTGCAGAGGTTACTTTGAGGGCATGATGAGTATGCTTCCGGCTGATACTATTGGCATTCTCGGTCTCGGTAATAGCTCCACATCTTTCGTTAATAGCCTCGTCTCTTCTTACAAGATCCCTTTTAAAGTAGCTCTTTGTTTACCTTCGAAGCCCGGTAATAATCACGGGTCTGTTTACATTGGCGGCAGTCCGTATGTGCTGCCGCCTAACCGTAAAGATGTGAGGGGGTTATTGGTTTCCACTCCTCTTATCTCGAATCGGGAAACAATAGAGCACGGGGAGGACTATAACTATTTCATAGATGTCAAATCTATTGAAGTTAACGGGATGAGGCTCTCTTTCGACCATGATTTGTTAAGTAACAAGACGGGCCACTGGGGACGCACGAAGATCAAGAACGTGATTCCTTACACTCTATTGGAGGCGTCAATTTATAAAGCTCTTGTTAATGCCTTCTCCGGGAAAGCCAAGAAGCAAAAAGCCGTGTATCCGTTCACTGACTGCTTTAGCTATAAAAGTTTTGGAGGAAAGTCTCTTTTGGGGAAAGAGACTCCGGTGATCAGTTTGGTGTTGGGAGGAGGAGTCAAGTGGGATATCTACGGACCAAACTCGTTGGTGAAAGTGAAGAAAAATGTTGTGTGTCTAGCATTTCAGGAAGCTGACGAGTTTGAGTCGAAGTTCCCAATCGAGATCGGAGGGTATCAAATGGAAGATAATCTAGTTGAGTTTGATCTTGAGGCCTCAAAGTTTTCTTTTACTTCTTCTCTTCTGCGTCACAACACATCTTGTAGTCCACAGTGATGAGTTACTTGCTATAGAGCTCGTTACTTTTCTTTCTATTTCAGGCTCAAACGCCATATTATCAATAAGACGTCGAGAAAAAGCTCTCTAAGGGAACCTATTGGTCGCTGAACTTTTACTATTGTTTGTTCATTTTAGTTTTTTTTGTTGAACTGATTATTCATTTTGGTTTCATAATGTGATTTCCTTATAACCTCACATTTTCAGAAAAATGTTTGATGTTTCAAAATCACAAACAAGACAAATGCTATTTTCTTAGCAACTGACAAATGCTATTATAATAAATTTTACTACTACTGTGGTTTACACAAATTTTTTTGGAGTTGTCGTTGAAAACTTTATATTGGCTATAGTTAAAAGTTGTAGATATTGACCAACCAGCACAAATATTAAAAAAAAAAAATCATAGACATCCAAAATATTACATTTTTCTTTTTGATATCCAAAAATATTACATTTTTTAATAATGCATGGAGGATTAACTTTCTTTTTAAGTAAAGAAATCTAAATATGCATATTTTGTTGCGGTACGCATGCCAACGAATTATTCACTTCATGGCCTATGTACTTTTTCTATTTTTATTTATTAAATGAATTTGTCATGTTCTATGACTTCGTATTTTATTTCTTAATACCATATCGATTATTGTTGCAGCACTCTCCTTCCGAGAAACATCGATCTTAATACAATAACACTACTACATGTGCGCGCAACATGCATTATGGACCCAAAGGGCCAACGAACCTTTGACTTTACGTGTTCACTTGACATATTTAACTTTCTTGACCAATTTCTAATTTTGTCACGTTTTCTTGTCACGTTTAATACCTTTTTAATATTATGCTTTAATACGATATCAATTATTTATTTATACACACTTCCCATTCCGGGAAATATCGTCGACAGCTTATTTATAAATACTAATACAATAAGTTAATAATACTACAACATGTACTCTATATAAATGTCTAATGAGTTCTAGAGATAAACATCACAACCTTTCTTTAACTAGCAGAAATGGCTCGTCTCTTCATTTGTCTAAACATCTTCTTCATTTTACTAGCAACCACCACATCTCTGACTGAACACAACCCAAAGCCTAAGCCAAGACCAAAGCAAAAGCCTCATGCATTTATCCTTCCGGTCTTTAAAGACACCAAAACCGGTATCTACTACACCAACGTGACCGTCGGCAAACCATCGCTTGTGGTTAACTTAGCCGTGGACGTTAGAGGCTCAGCCTTATGGTTCCAGTGCGAAGAGATCGGCTATAACTCAACCACTTACACCCCTATTCTCTGCGGGTCCAAGGGCTGCGAACAAACTAAAGATCAATGCTCCACTTGCATGGGCACCTACGGACCATCTTGCAGAAACGACACTTGTCACGCTTACCTCCAAACCCAAATGACTTACAACCGTGTCCAAGCTTCTCTAGTTAAAGACGATGTTGTCCTAAGCTACACGTCACCATCAACTAAACTCACAGCGAGGCTGCCTCTCGCTTGCATGTTGGCATCAGAGGTCGTTGCCGGGCTTCCTTATGGTACTCAGGGCATTCTCGGACTTGGTAATAGCTCAACGTCTTTTGTTACCGCCCTCGTCTCTTCTTACAAGATTCCCTTCAAAGTTGCTCTTTGTTTACCTTCTAATCCCGGAAATGACTCCGGGACTGTTTATATCGGCGGCGGGAGGCTGCCGCCGAGAGGTAAAGATGTCAGAGGGTTATTGGTTTCCACTCCTCTTGTCTCAATTCCGGAGACAAGAGAACATGGGGAGGATAACTACTACATAGATGTGAAATCCATCGAAGTCAACGGAAAGAAGCTATCATTTAATCAAGATTTGTTGACTTTTAACAAGACAAGTCATTATGGAGGTACAAAGATCAGCAACATAATCCCTTACACTCTCTTGGACAGTTCCATTTACAAAGCTCTTGTTGAGGCATTCGCTGGGAAAGCCAAGAAACGGAAAGCCATGTATCCGTTCAGTGACTGCTTTAGCTACAAAAGTTTTGGGGGAAAGTCTCTCTTGGGGGAAGAAACACCGGTGATTAGTTTGGTCTTGGGAGGAGCTGCTAAGTGGGATATCTATGGACCAAACTCGCTTGTGAAGGTGAGGAAGACTGTTTTGTGTTTAGCGTTTGTGGATGCTGGAGAGAGTCCGAGAATTCCGATTGAGATTGGTGGATATCAAATGGAAGATAATCTTGTTGAGTTTGATCTTGATGGCTCCAAGTTTTCTTTCACTTCTTCGCTTTTGCGTCACAATACATCATGTAGCCAATTGTGATACTTTTTCATAAAGCTCTTAATTGTTCATTTTCCTTGTGAAATGTGTTTTTTTATGGCATGGTCCAACTGTAAAGCTAGCAATTCTTCAGCCGTTTAGCTGACTCGTTTATTTGTGTGAAGTTAAAAAAAAAATAAAAAAATGGCTTGCAAAACAACAAAAATATGCACCAGCCGGGAATCGAACCCGGGTCTGTACCGTGGCAGGGTACTATTCTACCACTAGACCACTGGTGCTTGTTGATAAACTTGTCTAATTAGTAAATCTGGGTTTGTTAATGCATCACAACTCTCTTCAAGAACCAAGCAGTCTATGTCACTGATTCCTCTAAAAGACTCATATACTTCTATGCCAAAATATAATTCTTCAAGAGAGTGGTTTGATGCATTAAAACTCAATACAATTTGCGTTACTTGCTATACTTGAAGATGCATTACTTGCTATTCTTGAAGAGAGTGGTTTAGTAAATTCTACTACTCCACTCATCTTATTCTATTCTCCTTATTTCAGGCACTGGATTTCAAGAATCATACAAGCAAGCCCTGTCAGCTTTCGCTTCTCATCTCTAGTTTAAAAAAAAACACAAACTCGAGAATAAGCTGTTCTTGATATACAGTATGTTTGGTTCTTGAACAATCCTAAATGAGAAAATACAATCGCTATTCTCTTTCCTTATTCAACCTAAAGCAAAATGTGTGAGATCATTGTCACGTTCTTGTTTTCTCTTCAAATATTCTTTCAATTTGTTCCGCAACAACCTTAGCCACAACCTCAGGAGCAAACTTCTTGACCATATCCTCTCTTCCACGCTTCCCTTTAACCTTAGCTTCATCAGGGTTACTCACTACACGCCTCATCAGCACCCTAAGCTTATCCACAGACGGCTCTGCCCATCGATGCCCTTCAAAAGGACCTTCCTTAACTTCACTCATCTCCTCAACAACCAACGGATAACCATTCTCCTCCGTCAGATACTCCGTCGGTCCCGACCAGTTCGTAGCAATCACAGGCAAAGACATCGCCATAGCTTCCACTATCGGCCGTCCCCATCCTTCCCCTCTCGTAGGCAACACAAACGCATCAGCCGCTCTATACAACCGAGGCAAATCAACTTGAGCTATATGTTTATCAATCACATAAACACAAGGGTAACCTTCTCCACCCTCTTCAAGATTCAACTCTTTCACAAAATCCACAATCTTGTTCCCGAAATCACCATCGGAATGATAAGCGTTTGTCAACAGAAACAACGCAACGTTATCTCCACCAGAAAACTCTCTTAAATAAGCTTTCAACAACACATCCCAACCTTTCCTCTTCTCCCACTTAAACACACTCAAAAACACAAAACCCAAACCCTCCCCACCAGACCCCAAAACCAAATCCCCAACCTCCCCCAAATCCAAAGACTCATCATACCTCAACCGATCAAAAACCTCAACATCAACAGGCTGAACAACCTTAACAACCTTATCCAAACCAACACCACTCCGCACAAACGACGCCACATGAAACTCACTAGGAACCCAAACGTAATCCATCTCATTACATCTCTCCACATGCTCCTGATTAACCCTATCAGTCTCAAACATTGTCCTACCGATCACAGCCACAAACTCTCCGTTATAACCGTAAGGAGGACAAGGAAGAGTTTCGTAAAGCGGTGGATACCACGCGCCAGGCTCGCTGTGGCAGACGACGATGGTCTCGTTGGGTGTACACTCTGTTTCGTGCATTTCGATTGCTAACTCTTTGGTTTCTTTAGCTAAACCGTTCCAGAACGGTATTGATTGTAGATCGCCGTGGTGCTCGATTGCGATTCGGAAGTTAGGGTTTTTGAGGTTGTGGTGGAGGGATAGGATGTAGGACCAGGCTTCTGAGCTGTAGCCGCCGCTGGAGAGGAAAGGAGCCATCCATAATAGGCAGCGGGAGGGGGGAGACGGTGGGTTTGGAGGTTTGGATTTGGGATTGGAGAAGAGGGATTTGGTTTTGTAGAGATTGGTTTTGGTGAAGGAGAGTGTGAGTATGGAAAGGAGAAGGAGTAGGATTGAAGAAGAGTAGATGAATGTTGAGAATCTCCATGGACGGTTTTTCCGATCTGGTGGTTGCTCCATTGATGCGCAGAACAGAGCAAAGAGAGAGAGAGACGAAGGAGACGGAGATTCAAAGGAGTGAAAGGCCCATTAAATGTTTTTTGGCCCATTAAGAGTTTATGGGCCTTTACAGACTCAAACCATTTTTTAGTGAGTTACTACGTTTTACAGATGAGTCCAGTATTTTCTGAAAATTATAAAACATTTCCTTTTTAATAAACTATGAACATTATAACCCCAAAATTACTGACTACACGAAAGTTGACAGACGCAATGTTTTTGAATCGAAGTTACTGGGGAACTAAAAAAAATAGACTATAAGGCTGAAAAAAATGAGACTCCTTATGAGCAATGTGTTTTGTATAGTGATTTATCTCCTTCTTCTGTTGGTTTTCTTGGCTTTGAAGTTTCTTATGTGGCTTGACTTGTCACCGCCTCCAGTGCTGCCCAGTGAGAATCTCCCACCAGCTTGGGAAGGTGATTCGTTATGTTGTGTGCTTGCAATAGGTTGGACTCCAAACTGGAACGGGTTAGCCATTGGTGGAGGCGGCGTTGCTGCTGGTGCGCCGCCAAAGGAAAAGCTTGGATGAGGCATTGACACATGTTGTTGTTGTCCAAAGATTGGTTGTTGTTGTGCCATGGATGTTTTATTTGCTTGCTCTGTGTCTTCTGCCAAACTGTCTTCCATGTTCATTGTGTCTGTGGACGCCGGTGGTGACGAGAAGGTGCTGGGAAACACAGCAGCAGCTTTTGTATGCTCTTCCTGAGAGATATCTCCCCCTTCTGAGGTCAGTTTGGCTGATATCTCAGTCCCTTGGATGAAATTTGGAGTTGGTTCAGATGGCTGAACCGCTTCAATGGGTAAACCAGAAAATTGGCTTCTTCCAGTTTCCAGAGATCCATTAAAAGTACTGTGAGATACGTCACCATTAGGAATATATGACGTAGAGGCCATGACCTCAGAAGAAGTAAGTGGTTTCTCCCCTCTAGGCATGCTGATATTAACACCTTTCTTCACTTCCAAGGCTTTCTGTTTTTCTGCCACTTCAAATGAAGTAGATGGCTCACTATGATCACCACCCAACTCCAATAAATCCTGCATTTTGGATTTATAGATGGCCAAATATATGCAGTTAAAATATGTCTAAGGGCACATAATAATCAAACTATAAATAACAGCAGAACATTTTAACAGAAAAAGCAACTAAAACTAGTTGGAAATATAAATGGATAAAATCATGATTGGTCCGCTTTGACACTCTTATTTGCATTCTCTAGAAATATAAATATAAGAAAATACACAATTTACCTCATCCGCTATCATTCGAAATGCTTGTCTTTTTGGAGGATGCTCTTCCACAGAACTTGTGAGAGGCGAATAAGCACCATTAACACAAGTCTCGTGATCTTTACTGAAACCTGCTTTGCTTGTGTCATCTGCAGCAACACAAGTCTTCTGACTCAGAGGCAAAAACTCTCTGACGCCATTCTCTTTAATTTTTTCCGGCTTTTGATGACTAGAACTTGGCAAATTTTCCTTCTTCTCAGAAAGATCATCCAAGAACTTTGACGCCTGGAGGCTCTTGAGAGCTGGGCCTCGTAGCATAGATGGTGATAACTTACTTGGTGATTTCTTCTTCGGTGAAACCATTTTATCAACTTGCTGCAATATTTTTAAAGCCAGCTCTCTGGACACGGAAGGGACAAGGTTAAAATTTGAACCAGGAATATCCTCTAAATCTTTAGATGCATGTGTCATGTTTCGTCCACCACTGGCATTAACAGAAAATGGGCAAAGCCAAGCTTCTAGATGAGAGGTTGGATTTCTGGCGAACTCTCCTAACAGGGCCAATAGATCCTATATCAGTATCCAAGACTGAGCTCCTCCGTTTGAGACCCTACAAAATTATGTAAAAGCCATGTCAATACTTTGTTTCAGAGGCTGATTTGGAACTCGTTTGGTGCATAGTTAAAAAAATTCACCGATTGAAACTCTTTTCTAGAACCAGAAGCTAAGCTTTCTTTCCATGTGGTTTGAGATGCCTGGAAAAGAGACCCATTCTGTAAAAAAAAAACACACATTAAAATTGGGAAGTAGTTGTAAACTTTACAATAAAAAGTTAATGGCTCAACAATGAAACCTTAACAGTGGACTGAGGCGTAAAGTATGGTGTTATAGCCATGCTATAAACAGCAGATCTTCCTCGAGATCTTGGCGTGACTAAACCATTTTTCAGTGGTCTTTCTCCAGAAAGATGTGGTGCCAGTGACTTTGACGGAAATGGGGTTCTGTTCAGGGAAAAAGACTCTTCCCTACACGCTTGACCACGTGACGCCAACATATGAGTAACTTCTGAAGTTCTGCTACTCATGTAGGCTTTTGCAAGCTGTGCCGGAGAAGCAATGCACTCATCGAAAGCCTGGTAAGGATAAAATAAACAATCAAAAGATTAAAGATGGCCATCTTGCATGAACGTCAGCATAAAACAGAGACTAGTATCTTACCTTTGAACTTCGAAGAGGTGTTGAAACAAGGGAATTCATAATTTCTTTATATGGATGCGCCCTATCCCTCTCATGTGATGGTGGAAATCTTGCAACACTCGCTTCATTTCTCTGTTCACCATTTACAGTGGATGAATCAGAAGCTTTCGAACGTAGCAAGGTAGTTAATCGGTCAATTTCAGATCTGTAAAACCATCAAACGTGATCAACGAAATTTCAAAACAAGACGTTTCAGTTATTCAGGAAATAAAATATGTTTTACACATATTCCACTCTTACATATCATGAAGGTTAACTCTCATGAAAATATGAAGAAAATTCTATAACCTTAAAAGTTGTTAATTTACTAGGTTAAAATGTACAAGGTAAAGCTTTTAAGACAGTGTAGTACCTTGTAAAAGTCTTCTCTATCAAAACTTTCTCAAGATCTGTAAATCCATCCTTGCTTAGATTGTCGGATACATTAGCTTCTTGTACACGAATCACATCATTCTTCATGGATAACTTCACATAGACCATATCAACAGATAAATCATGAATAATACAGAGGATGAAAGAACAAAAAAAAAAACCAAGAAAATAAAATTTTATTAAAAATATGTAACTGATTTACTTACAGCAGAAGTATTCTCCTTATATCCAACCTTAGTCTCTTGCATTACATCTGCTTCATGAAAATAGAAACAATACATATTAATAACATACATGATTGCTATTACTAATACAGAAACAATCTCATACATAACACAAACCATTCAGAGAGAAGATAATAGAAGGAATCATGATACTTGAAGAACAATCCAATAACACTTCTTTACTTCCTAGGTTACATGGAATTGGAAACGTGGAAACAAAACGTTTCGAAAATTTGTGTATATATGTATGATTAATCAACATGTAAGCTTGTTTTTTGTTTGATTTATTTAAGAGAAAAATTAAATTATAAATATTTTTTTGTATATTTTATTAAAATTATAATCAATAATTAAAAAAGTAACATATGTTATCATTCGATAAAAAAAAATATGGAACGACTTCATTCCAAATCAAATCATTATACTAAAATAATAACAACTATCAAGATAGCTGGTTTCCAAATCAGAAACACAAGGTTCCATTGGGTTTCCAAAATAAAATTTTCAAAGAACTTGTTTCCAAAGAGTTTCCTCGAGTTTCCAAGTGATTCTGATTTCGAAACGTTTCCGAAATGGGAAACAAACCATGCAACTTAGTTTACCTCTTTCTGGAAGCTTCTGCTCCGTTGACTGTAAAGGCGTCTCACCTGAGACGAAAGGTTTTCGGAAAACAGACGTGAAGAGCTTATGAGCACTATACGTAATAAGCCTCTGAGCCGGATCCACCAATTTCGAAAACCAGCCTCTGTCTTGTCCGATCCCTAGTCTAGGGTTCTTCACAGAGGTCAGTGGTCGATCATACGGACTTTTCTGAGGCCTACGAGCTGTAGGCTTCCGAAACTTTCCTCTGGTTCCTACTCCTCCACCGCCGTAAGGATTACTGCTCTCTCCCCGTGCCACACTCGCCATTAGGGAAACGAAACGTGTGATCCAATTTAGGGTTTCAACGAACTTTTCCGCGTTAAGGAAAATCGAAACTTCTTGAGAAAGAAGGAATCCACTAACTATAAATAAAAGAGGAGAGGAGCGTAAATGCGACGCAGATTGGAGAGGGTATAAACGTCTTTGCAAATAAGGCATAACAGTTATTTGCGGCGGGAGACGACGGAAGTTATCCGGTAATAAGTGATGCTTGAAAGGCTCAATGCCACGTAAGCTACTCGATTTTTTTTTTAAAAGGTGTAAACGACCTCACTTCATGGTGACGCGGGCTTTTTAAAGAAATGCGCGTCTTCTTCACACCCTATTTAAGGCTTCTATGCTTTCCTTGTAGTGCAAGAAACCGTTTAAAAATGATATGAGACCTTTGGACCAAGAAAGAGACAAAGTCAATACCCTAAGCAATCCTAAACCCAAACCTTAAAACCTCCCATTACACATAACTATCTCATATATATATATATACACAGCCAGTTATATCCTTCAAACACATTAGAAGTTTCTGTTTCACCAAAGTTTGATTAATTAATTTTTTTCAAAGAAACCTTGCTTTGATATAATATAAGACGTGTCAATGTTGAGGAGGCAAAGGCCTGGCGGTGGCCGTCACCCGCCACCGTTGGCTCCAACGGTGAGCAACTTCAAGCCAAGAGCTCAATGGAACAACTCCGGATCTTCCATTATCCTCTACGTCAATCTTCCTGGTCCATTTTCTCTTTTCTTTATTTTATGTTCTTGATAAGACCAAATCTTTAGTTGGTAAGAATTATGTAAATTTTTTTGTAATGGACAGGGTTTTACAGAGACCAAATAGAAATCAAGAAAGATGAGAAGACACGGACTATCTACATTCAAGGCCAGCGACCACTCTCTACTCAGACTAAGGCTCGTTTCAATGAAATTTACCGTGTTCCTGAGTCATTTGATATGACGAAACTGAACACTTCCTTCTCACATGGACTCTTGACGATGGAGTTTCCTGCGGTGGTGGAAGGTGAGAAAACGGACAAGGCAGGCAATGATCAAGGGAAGACTGTACAGAGGCCTGATAATGAGGAAAATAGAGGGACTGGTCTCAGTGAGAGTAGCTTGGGACAAAAGAAACCTTCGGATAAGGAGAAACAAGTGGGAACAAGTCAAGAGAAAGCTGCTGTTACAATGGCGAATAAAGAAGAACCAAAAACGTATAAATCAGTGGTTGAGGGTAAGAGAGCGGTGCCAACGGCTAATCAAGTGAAGGCTGAGCAGAAAGTGGCCAGCCCTAGCTTGAGTCCCAAGGAACATGCGAAACAAGAGACGGTGGTTGAGAAAAAGAAGGCTGCTCAAATAGGTCAACATAAGACTGTACAGAAGATAAAGGAGGAAGAGGCTAGAAATACATTGACCGTTGGTGGTAGCTTGAAACCCAAGGTACTTGCAAAAGAAGAGAAAGTAATTGAGAGAAAGAAAGATGGTGATATTGGTCAGAAAAAGACTGGAGAGAAGGTGAAGGATGAAGGAAGTACTAGAGCGCCAACCATTGGTGGTAGCTTGGAACCTAAGGTACATTTTAAAGAAGAAAAGGTAGAGAGAAAGGGGGATGGTGAAATTGGTCAGAAGCTGAAAGAGGAAGGAAAGATTGGCTTAGAAGAGAATAAAGAGAAAATGGTTGAAAGAATAACACAAGATGTTAATGGAAACGTGATAAGCAAGGATGAGAAGATGGTTGGATACAAGGTAAGTGAAGGAGAGATTCAAGAGAGAGTGGAAGAAAAGAAGGTAGGAGAAGCCGGTCTAGTCAAAGAAACAAGAGATCCGAAAGGTAAACCTGAAGTCATGGAACCAAGAAGGGTAGATTCAGATGTGAAAGAAGACTTAACCAAAGGAGGTGAAGACAGAGAGAAGATGGATACTCCTGCAACAACAGAAGGAAGAGGACAGGAGGAAGAAGGGAGTCATATATATGACACATCTTTGGTCAATGTTGGAGTTGCTTCTCTTGTCATTATGGGGTTTGGTGCATACGTCTTTGTACCACTTGTAAAAATGTTCTACTGATTCTGTTTTAAGAAAAAAAAGACGATGGCACTTATGGTTACGAATAAACCAAAGATAAATATACAAGGACATTAGTGTACCACATTCGTAATTCTCAGTGGAACTCAAGTTGGGCGCTGAAATTAGCTTCCCAAACTCTTAAACTCACTTAGATCTCTATAAATATGCTATTAATATTCAACTATTTTCATACAAACAAAAAAAAACTCACGACTTTTTATGTGATAGAATTTGAATCTTAGTGATTTAGATGATATACTCTAGCTATAATGTTGATTTTGGTCAAAAAAAAAAAAATACTCTAGCTATAATGTTTGTGGCATGGTAATTTTTAAGTCATTTGTTTTCCTGATTTCAATTGCATTTCCATAATTTTCAAGCTTACTCAAGAAAAATATTACCTTTCTTTTGTAATCACACCCAAGTAAACATATCATATAAACCAACTTTGATATCATCAATTATGAGACATAATTCTGGATATTTGTACATCTTTTTAAATAGTTTTCAATGAGTATTTAAAAGCTTTTGTTGCTTAGAATTCTGTAATTGAATGTGTTTTGACCATTCATTTCATGTTTATTTTCATTGTTTACAAGCTCTATCGTCTTTGTAAACATTGACTTCAATTTAATTGTTATATCTATTTTTTTTACTTGAAATTTTAATTTGGATAATCTAGTCAGGGATTATGATAATCAACTTTCATTTCTAAACTTCCAAAACGTGGAGATGCATCATAAAATAACATAGGTTACCAATTTTTTTTTTTTGCAAAATAATAATAAAATAAACTCACCAATGAATGAATATTTCCGTGTAAATCATCAATATCATCTGTTTCTTTCTTGATAATTTGGGCTGAATTGAAAATCTGATTCAATGCCTCTTAATTAAACTTTCAGTACCATTGTTTTGTGCACAAACAATGACCAATCAGTTTAGATAAATTTATTCAAAATTGCAATATAACTCATACTAGAATAACTTACTTAACTTATGCATGTGGAAATAATGTTCTTCATGTAGCCGCATGATTTATTTTTAAGTTGTTTCACGTATAAATATACATGGCAAATCCATTGTGGAACTGAGTTTGGTAGTCCAAAAAGGGACAACTTTGACAACCGATTATTAGCTAATAACGATATAAATATAAGCAAATTTTTTTTTAAAAAAAATTGCATTAAAAGAAAAGAGCACATTGTACCCAAGAAATTAGATCCACTATAGAATTCCTCTGGTTTATAAATGATTTGGTATATGATTATCAGAGAGACCAATCTCAAAAAACCTATGTAAGAAACTCTATTTTGGATATAATTGACATGCATATTATTTGTAGAATGAAGAAAAATAAACAATTAGAAATGATGTTTTCTAATTTATTTGTAGAAAACATGGAATGTACTCTACCTTAATGATGTTGCATATCAACATTACGGAGTTCGGAATACTTCAATTAAGAGCAACGAACAAATATATAATAGTAAATTATATGTTTACATCATTAGAAATTAATGTTATTAATTAGTTTTATGTTAATTATTGAAAATATTTTACCAATTGATTCAAATTTCTTTGTATGTTTTCTGTTTGGTTCACTTTGCACACATCGCAACTACTCACACAATGGCCTAGATCACTAACAGTCATGAAACATGATTTATTTGGGTCTTTTCACACCTTGATCCACTGGACATCCAAAAAGAGGATTTGATTATATTTATTTTGGCTTCCAATAAAGATTAAAATTGGAAGGTAAACAGTTGAACATGTATATTAGTCTAGTATATATGTTATTGGTTATAGTTTTTCTATTATATAACAACACATTATTTTGGTAATATATGTCCTTCCTAAGACAAAAAAGATTTAACTAGTCTATTATAAAGGCGCTTGGGTAAACATGGACAATGTCAATGAAAAACATATTAATCGAGTAAGTTCTTATATCAATGAACTTTCAATTCTTTTATCAGAAATTAGTCCTTGACAGCTTTCGATCAAACATATTTAAATATCCAAAGTTGACCATATAATCTCAAATAAATATTGTAATGTATGTATTGTAGGATTTGGTAGAGTTTACTAATGAATAAAACAATAGTAATTTGTCAACTCCTTGTGGTAGTCAGGCTTAGCAATTCAATTTTGACAATGTAAACTTACAACATTTAAAATCAAAATTGGTGAGTAAGAAAAATGATCACACTATTAATTATATATTTGAAGTTATATATACTCATAGGAAAGCTAATCTTATAAGTAATCAAGAGTAGTTGCGACTTATGAAACTAAAAATAACAAATACATACCACCGTCCACCGAGATGCATGCTTATAGTTGTTTTACATAAAAGAAGAACAAAAACATGAGAAGCACTTACGAATATATATTCTTAATAACCTAAAACTTTTTTTCTAGTCTGCTTTGTGCATCGCACGTAAACTGTTAGTTTATTCAAAGTATTATATGTTTTTCTTTGTATATATATATCGACTACTATCTCCAAACTAAACGTCACAAATAGAAACTTCAAACGAAGAAAACATCAAAAGGGCAAGAGGAAGCCACGAAAATGTCTTCCTCCTACGGCAAAGTCGACGAGCGTGAACATGTAACGCTCCAAGCTCGCCGCAACACGAGGAAGAGAATCACAATCATCGTCGTATCACTACTCGTTCTCGTCGGTATCGTGATCGGAGCCGTCTTCGGAACCATGGCTAACAAGAAGTCAACTACGGTGGAGACCAACGTTAACGGAGAACCAATCTCCGTATCCGTCAAAGCCGTTTGCGACGTTACACTACATAAAGACAAGTGTTTAGAAACGGTCGGAGCAGCTCCAAACGCAAGCACTCTCAATCCAGAGCAGCTGTTTATATACGCTGTGAAGATCACAATCGCAGAAGCCACGAAAGCTCTCAACGCATTCAACTCTTCAGGTGCCAACACGAAGCCCATGAAGGCTTGCGTCCAGCTTCTTGACCTAACGATAGATCACCTCAACGACACGTTAACATCGTCATCAAAAGGTGACGTCACGTTACCCGAGCTAGTCGCTGACCTACGTACATGGCTGAGCTCGGCCGCGACGTGCCAAGACACTTGCATAAAGACGTTGGATGAATCAAAAAATCCAGAAGCGAAGACGTTCGGAGAAGGTCAGCTCAAGAACGCAACGGAGCTAACGAGTAACGCCTTAGCTATCATCACATGGCTCGGTAAGATCGCTGCCTCCTTTAAACCCCAGAGGCGTTTGCTTAGTGCTGACGTGGCGGTGGACTTCAACGTGGGGAGGAGGTTGTTGCAAAGCACGGATTTGAGGAAGGTGGCGGATATTGTGGTGGCGAAGGATGGAACAGGGAAGTATAGAACGATAAGTAGGGCTTTAAAGGATGTGCCTGAGAAGAGTGATAAGAGGACGGTTATATATGTTAAGAAGGGAGTTTATTTTGAGAATGTGAGAGTGGAGAAGACCATGTGGAATGTTGTTGTGGTTGGAGATGGAGGGAGCAAGAGTATTGTCTCTGGTAAACTTAATGTCATTGATGGAACTCCTACTTTCCAGAGCGCCACGTTCGGTAAATCTCTCTATTTATTTTTACCATTTATTTTATGCTCCAAATACATAACATGATATGATGAACCAGCTAATCTAATAACCTTGAGGATGAATATTGAGAACTAATCTATAATGGTCGTTGACAATTATTTGCTTTGTCAAAAGCTTCTTTAAGTTCTTTGTTCATTATCTCAATGTTTCATTGTACCTCTTCTTCAATAGTTTCTAAAAAAAATATTATCGACTAGAAAAGATAGATTATCATCCAAGGATTTAGTTGTTTTGTTCCAAAAATTGTTAGGTAGACATTATATAAAGAATTAGTGCCTAAATCAATGTTTATCCTCTTAATCCAATCTTTAAAAAATGTTTTAGAAAATATATTTCATTTAAAACGGCATAAGTATAATTCAAGAAACAAGTTACAGTGAAACTTCTATAAACTAATAATGTTGGGATTATAACAAAATTTAATTTTTTTATTAATTTAGAGAGATATTAATTTATCGATATACTAATCGAATCAAAAATTCAATTTGGGATTATAAAATTATATTATTTTATCGAGATAATTATTGTATATTAATTTATCGAATATCAATTTATAGAGGTTCTATGCTAATTTGCTATGTTTCAAGAAACCAGTTTTGACTTTGCTATATATGGTTTATACAGCTGTGTTCGGGAAAGGGTTTATGGCAAGAGGAATGGGTTTCATCAACACAGCCGGTCCATCAAAACACCAAGCCGTAGCCCTAATGGTCAGCGCAGATCTCGCATCCTTTTACCGATGCACAATGAACGCATACCAAGACACACTTTACGTGCATGCACAACGTCAGTTTTACCGTGAGTGCACCATAATAGGAACAGTCGATTTCATCTTCGGTAACGCAGCTTCCGTTCTACAAAACTGCAAGATTCGCCCTCGCCGACCAATGCAGGGACAACAGAACACAATAACCGCTCAAGGACGCAAAGATCCGAACCAGAACACAGGAATCTCGATTCACCGTTGTGACATATCCCCACTTGGTAACCTAACTGGTGTTCAGACTTATTTAGGTCGGCCGTGGAAGGATTTCTCCACGACGGTGATTATGCTATCGTCGTTGAATGGGTTTATTGATCCGAAAGGTTGGTTGCCGTGGGTAGGAGACTCTGCGCCAGATACTATATTTTACGGTGAGTATAAGAATACTGGTGCTGGTGCTTCGACGAGAAATAGAGTTAAGTGGAAGGGATTGAGGTTTTTAAGTACTAATGAAGCAAATAGGTTTACGGTTAAACCTTTCATTGGTGGAGATAGATGGCTTCCGACCACTAAAGTGCCGTTCAGGTCTGGTCTCTGAGTTTGTTTTCCGGTAACGAGATTTCTAATTCAAATCTCTTTTATTTTTTGGATGTTAACGTGTTAATAAAGTGTTTATTGTTATTCTATTGTATCATTTGGTTGATTAATTTCAAATCACACTATATATCTAAAAATAAACAAGGTGAGCATTTTGTGAATTTGTGTTGGTATATTAGTTGAGAATTTATTTATTTATTTATTTCATTCATTTTGAAGAAATATCATATTCATATATAGATCAAATCTCTTTTTTTTTTTTTTGTCACAACATAACATTCATTCATCGTCAATTAGTTAGGTGGGGGAAATAAATCTCATCCATTGGATATGTATATGTTGGCTATTGTACATGTTCTAAATGTCAAAAGCAGAGATTAATTGTTCTCGATTAATTTCTGTCAGAAAATTATTGATTATCTGAAAAATAAAACACTTAATTATTATAAGCATATATAAATAATCATGATTTATGAGAAACTTTCGCTGCATTCCTATTGGCGCCTTTCAATAAAACTTTAGTGCAGAACAGGCATGCACCGCGTTAGATACGTCATTTGAACCGACGATATTTTTTGTGCATAGAAAACGAAATAAGAATATACAAAATATATATCTATGCAAGAATAATGTATTTGGAGCAATATCACTTTATCCTTCCGCACTAACCAATGAAGAGGTAATACAACACAATAACTAGCCAAGGTTGCATCAAACGATATACTTTGCAACGTTTCCAAATCAGGGAAACGCTTTATTTAGTCGGCAGCAGTCTCGTGACGATGTTCAGTGTCATAACTCCACTCGACGAGACTTATCCTTGACAACTCAGTTATAGACACACAATGTAACAAGTTGTAGTTTTCCGTAGTCATCAGATATTGACGTTGTTTCTCTTGTATGCCTTTGGATTTATAGCATATATGGTTGATGATTCAAAATTCAATAGTTCGATAATTTTATGATGGGTTATCTTAGATACATATTTATATGAATTGAACTAATAATTAAACTGGTTAAATACTTTAATATGGTTAGTTGGTTACACTCAAAAAGAGGTAATGTTTTCATATAAATTATGCAAAACCAATACGGTAAAATGATTTTATTAATTGTATAACTAAACACCAAAATTCAAGACTCCAATGTACTTAGAAGAAATGAAATTATTGCTTTATAATTAAATGACCAAGTACATATATAAATATTATATTATATGATGTTATTTTTATTCTTTGCGAACCAAACCACCATAGAAAGGAATATCGGTTTGAGGCAACCAAGTATCTCCCAAGGTAAAGTTGTAAACCGTGAAGTTCATGGCTTGTGCCATGTCCAATAAATTGTACCCGAACCACTGCACTCTCCGGTCTGTCTTTGCCCCCGGTCCAAAATTATCATACTCACCGTAGTAAATCGTGTCTAATCCAGTTGTACCGTTCCATTCGAGCCATCCGACTGGTTGAACAATGTCACTAATATATGATTGCATGAAAACCGTCCTTGAGAAAGGCTTCCATGGCCGTCCTAGGAACGTCATGGTTGAGGTAGGATCAGCTGCAAGATCTGGTGCGGCTTTGATGGTACAGTTGATGATAGAGATTCCAGTGTTTTGGTTTGGTTCGGTTCTTCCATGGGCTGTGATTGCATTCTTCTGCTTTGCCATTGGTTTTCTAGCATATATATTGCAGTTTTGAAAAATTGCAGCTGCATTTCCGAATATAAAATCGATGGTACCTATAACAAAAGAAAAACGGGACATAGATATAAAATGTGTCAATGATAAAGTCATTCATGTAAAATCATATAACTTCATATTCCAATGACACAATAAGGTGGTAGCAAAACTTATCATACCATATATATCGCATTCACGGTAGAACTGTCTGAGAGAATGGACGTAGAGAGTATCTTGATAACCTTCAAAACTACACCGGTAAAAAGTGGATCCTTCAGCATTGTTCCTCAAGGCCACGGCCTGATGTTTCTCAGGTCCAGCAGTGTTTCTGAATGTAACATCAACCGCCATGAACCGTTCTCCAACCACCGCTACAAAAATAAAATAACACTATCATAAACTAAGAAGATTTCTAAATTAGGAAAGTCAACAACTTAGAAGAAGATAAAAGAAAACTAACCAAAGCTCGAGCAATTATACGTAGTCCAACCATCAACAACGTTATGGTTCCCGGTAATGATCGTCTTATTGATTCCATCTCCCATTAGCAATAAATTCTTTTTGTTCATGGGAACAACGATATATTCTTCGTATACACCTTCCCTTGCGTATATGACAAAGTAACCATCCTCCGGTCTAGCGTTATTAGGTGCGGCTGCTATTGCATCAGTGATGGTTGTGAAGTTATCGGATTTGTAAGGACCGACAATAACCGCTTGACTGACGAGGATGGAACCACCGCTCGTCTCCCCAAGCTCACCCAACTTCCGGTTAGCGGTCCGACAATCTTTGTCCTTCTCGCATGTTTTACGTAAACCCTAAATAAAATAAAATTAAAAAGAACATCAAAACATGTTAATATATGCTCTTAATTATTACATGATTAGCTTGTAATTTCGTGTCTTGATAAATCAGTGTTTATTATTGTAGCCGCACGAAATGACGGTGAACATCCTATGATGAGCGAATCCACGTGAACACAGTTGGATTCGAGTGTGGACCCAAATGATTTTTTGTAAAAAAAGTCAAAGATGAGCGCGACCCAATTGATCAATTATTTTCTTGCAATAAAATGTGGCCTAAAAATGAGCGTAGGCCATGTGACATTTACTATCTTATGCTTCTGGATCACACACACACACACAACAAAGAGCACGTCCATTTCATTCTGACTCGATCTAGAAACTCTTAGATATGTTCGAATATTATATCTATCCCTACGTCCTAAACAAGTAAAACTCAAACCATATATTAAAACTTAAAATCAGTATCTCTCTTCTTAAACTATAGTTTTTTTTTTTTTTTTTTTTGACAAACTATAGTTTTATTATTCTAAACCATTATTTAATTATTACCTTAATTAAAGTCTCGAGCGGTTCGCGATAGGTTGCGTTACGACCACCAAGAATCTTCCCTTTCGAGGCTTTAAACCTCTTCAAGTTACGGTTAAGCGCGTGACTCACAAGCCCTAACGACACACTATAAAGACGCGTGAGATTCCCCATCGGCGATCCAATAGCGGCAGCGAAACCACTCTTGGACTCCACGAGTCCGTCAAGACACGTCTGCTGGTTCGTCACAACACCACTCAAAAGACTGTTCACATGCTCCACGAGCGCTGCAGTCATCACATCCGCCATTTTGAGCTCCTCCGCGACGGTCTCGAGATAGCTCACGCTGAGCTCAGCTAACTCGCCGCAGTCCGCCACCGCGCCTATTTCCTCGGCCGTCATGGAGCCTGGTTTGGTTCTCACGCGGCGTACGTACCCGTTGATGGTTTTGGAGAGACGGTTTGCTTGTTTGAGGCATTGTTTGATGGTGAACTTGCCGTAGCTGTAGGGGTCTGACGGTGAGGATTTGACGGCGGAGAGGATGGTGCGGCAGAGCTTTGGGTATGGAGTTGACTTACAAGCGGCTGAAGTTGACTGTGGAGGAGGCAAAGAAGGTGGCTGAGAGGGAGGCAAAGAAGGTGGTTGAGAGGGAGGCAAAGAAGGTGACTGTGATGGAGACAATGAAGGTGGCTGTGACGGAGGCAAAGAAGGTGGCTGTGACGGAGACAAGGAAGGTGCTTGTGAGGGAGACTGTGGTGAGATTAGCAAAGCACATGAGAGGAAAAGAAGTGACAAGAACAAGAGAGAAGTAGAGAAGTGAAGTGTATTCATTTTGTTTTTATCTTTTTTTTACTTGTGGTGTTTGTTTATTGGATTGGCTATAATGTGTGTGTATATATATAGGGGATACGAGGAGCTTGAGGTATTTAATGAATGCATGGGTTCGAGGGAAACTATATTATGTAATGCATGTTGGTCCAATAATTAATATTACATGTATATAATTTCGTTTTGGTCAAATAATATAAGTGTATGATCTAGTTGTTTTATGCAACCGGTGGTCCACCCAAAGTTGGTTTTCGTGACGGTGGACCGGGGTTGACTTGATTAGAAAAGAGTTTTTGAGTTCATGTGATTTAACCGTAAGATTAGGTATTTTCTAGTGTTTTAATTTTTGTTTAGTCCAAATTGTTTTGCTAGAAACTGCAAGTCGCTGCAATAGAAAAAGACAATCAGGCATGTTTATACATTATTGATGAGAAACATCCCACATCGGAAATACAAGAATTAATCTACTACTATATAAAGGGTTGGAGCCAATCCACTAATCACCAATTGGTTTTTAAGTTGGAAGCCCATAATAAACCCGAATCTAACATGGTATCAGAGCGATAAGATCCTTTGACCTAATTTACTACAACTACTAATACTATACCGCTAATACTATACCGATGTTGGGCCCTCTGTGGATGTTATTCCCACATTGTCCACGCTTCAGACCTAGAGATGTCTGAGCGTGAGGGAGGGTATTGATGAGAAACATCCCACATCGGAAATACAAGAATTAATCTACTACTATATAAAGGGTTGGAGCCAATCCACTAATCACCAATTGGTTTTTAAGTTGGAAGCCCATAATAAACCCGAATCTAACATACATATCTCGAGGTTAATATGGAGTTGATAATATTTAGAAATTAACAAGGTGGGTTTGACTTTTGTTAGAAAAGTTTTACTATTTCAGATGATTTGATTTTGACCGAGAATAAAGTATGCATGTGATGTGTTGGGGAGCTTTTGGACATGGCTACGCGTGAAGGCAAGACGGTGAAGACTATTAGGAGTCGTCGTCACTCTGTCTATCCCACAATTCACACTTACAAGTTATGGTCCATTTAAATATACACACACTCCTCTTCATGACATATCGTAAGTCGTAACAGTACCAAATGTCTAAAATTTAATCATTGTTTTTAAATAATGTGCTCTCTTCCTTTCGAAATGTATGATGTTTTACCCTATAAAGTTTTTTTAATGTTTTAATATGTAAAATGTTTACATATTTTTTAATAATTTTTAATTTTATTGAAAATTGTCTAATCTATTTTGTAATTATGCATCTTAAAACATAGTACACATTTTGAATACTTTCTTTAATGATATTTTGAAGTAAATTTTCTTTTTAAAATAATTATGCAGTGTTAAAACATATTACATTTTGGAATAGGGAGAGTATGTTTTACTTTTACCTACTAGACTTGTAGTAACCACTATATGAGAAGATTTACTAACCAATATCGTTAGTAAATGAATTAAATAGGTAAGATGGGAAAATACATTGTTAAAAAAAATTAACACATATATAATTACAAAACAAACACATATTTGCCCAAACAAAAATACACACAAATATAGCAACAAAAACAAACACACATATCTTTACAATCAAATATACAAATATGAAAATTAAATTTCTAAGAAAATGTAAAACAAAAAATATACGCATGCTTTTAAGAGTGGATCAAAATCTAGTTAAAGAGTTAAAGACAAAGACATATACGACTGAAGATCAAACTAATTTCTCTCTGGTTTCAATTCGGCAAATATATTCCCTAACCAAATAAACCGAACCAAACCAGATTTTGAATAAGATCTGTGTTTTCTTATTGAAAGATAAAAAAAGTCTAAAAATGGTAAAAGGAAGATGTGAAGTATACAAATACTGAATACAAACATGAAGAAAAGATATTTAAGAGGGAATGTTACAAAGAGAAGATGGGTTCAACGTGGAACTTCAAATCAAGCATAACAACAGAGACCGAGTCTAGTTCACGGCCATGAACCCTGAATCTGGAAATACAAGTGTGTGAAGAGCTTCCATGATTCGATGTGAAGTCTAGCCTTATGGTATTGACAAGTCCCGAGTGAGCAGAATCAGCAATGTCGAATATCTGGCGTTGGACCTGTCCAAATCGTAAGTGAACTCTGTTAGAAGAAACCTTGTCTCACTCTCCATATCTTTGTCTTCTAGCCATCCTGATACACGGCAATCCTTTGGAGCGCTTGATCTGTCATACGCCACAGCCTGTTTCAATTTCATGGTGCATAAACCGTAAAATAAGTATTGTTAACAAGTATATAACACAAGAACAAAACTGAATATATTGTTCAAACTAACTAACACAGCCAGTGTCCTAAACTGAAACTATATGTTTTCACACTTACCAATGCTTGAACATTTGTAATTGATGATCCGAGACTCCGAATATTCATGTACTGTCTTGTTAATTAATTCTTGCGTATCAAGTAACCTAAAGGCAAGATATGCTCATAACTAAATAAAGTAAATTTTTATTCAACCAAACTAATATTTATTTATACACACAGGCACGCATTACGTAATTACATAACCACCACAAATGAAGTTTTTAATACTTCTCGTCATCGTTTCACTCTTCACAAAGTGGAAGCTGTCTTCTTGTAAGAGTCAGAATCAGAAACAGACATTGTTATCTTCGCAGACTCCTTCAACAAATCAAATGAAGAGAACGAATGTGGCGGGAGAACAACAGTAAGATCCTCCTCAGCCATCTCTAGCAAGCTTTCGTGTGGCGCAACCTTCTCTGGCTGTGTGAAAGAGTTTTCATCCATCACATTAGTTGATGTAAGTATTGTCTTCTTCGATCCCGAAACTTTCATCACGTTTGGATCCAATCCAGTAACCAACACCTTTAGATTCACTGAGGTAGCTCCAAAGTTCACAGCCTGCAAAATAAAATGAGAGATTAACAAAGATTTAAAAAAAAGAATCAGAGAACTAAGGCTCTAACCTTTATACGTATGTAATCTTGGTTATTGTTTTTCCATGAGATTGCAGATGCAACAAGAGAAGAAGAGTTTCCTTTGAGTGTTGATGTTAGAAGAGTTGACCCGCTTGACTCTGCGAAGAACCGTTGGACCCAATAGCTAGGAGTTCCATATAGATGAGAGGAGTTGAAGACTATTGCATCAGGGTTCCACCTGAAAACCAATTTCAATAATTTGAGATCTATACTATTATTTACGAAGTGATTTTTCGCAACAGAACTCGCACATTAAAAGTTAGAGTGGTTAATATCGTTTATACCCTTAATAAATATAATATATAAATTACATATAAAATAAAAACGAATTTAATTGTTTTGATTAGATAAGTAACTAAAATTAATAATGATCATAAGAATTATCCAAAATCTAAATAATATCCTTTTAAATAAGATAATTCCGATATATATTGTGATGTTATCTGAAAATATATTTTGATAAAAAGTTAACAATTAAAACAATAGAAAATACATAAGTAAATATTAATCAAGTCAAATTCTTAATTTTATATAATTGAAAAAAAAATTATTCATTTTAAAATTATTTTTAATAGTGAACATAAATTACAAAGAAATATATGTAAGAATTGTTAAATGAAAGTATAAATATTATTGGTTTCAAAAAATAAAACACAATTAATACTTTATCATTATAAACTTTCCATTAGTAAAAGATGTATTAATAAAATAATTATAAAATGTTTAATCCCGCAAATGCGGGCAAAACACCTAGTTGTTATTATATATATTAACAACACAATGAGATGAGAGTGTTACCTTCTGTCATTTGTGTTCACAAAGAGTGGTGCATAACTAGCCATTTCCACAATGTCACTGCAAACAAAGAAACCATCATCAAGACTTTTTTTTTTTCTTTAAAAAATTCATTTGGTGTTTTTAGTTAAATGATCAAAAACCTGTTCTTTTCAAGACCAATGAGAAATGCAGCTTCTGCAAGAGCGGCGAGAAGGCTTCCTTTACCAGCATCTTTTCCTGTCACAGCATATTCACTGACAAAAGCCTGCAAACATAGTCCCACCAGTGAGTCACTGAGACACTGAAAAATCTTCAATGTGTCTTTGTTCTGAATAATCTATTACCGTACCTTTGGACCCTTACGTGAAGTGCGGTCAAACTGATGATACATGGAAAACAAATTGCTAGCAGAAGTGTAAATCTGTGACAAAAGTAAAACACTTTCTTTCAGAACAGTAACACACATAGAGAAACATGTCAAAGTTACTGTCAAGAACGGTTTCTTTACGTGAAAATCATAGTAATCAGCAGGATGGTCGAGTGGACGAGATGATCCATCACAGTTAGAGATGATTTTGATATCAGGATATGCCTTTTTGATAGCATCATAGAACACAATATAGTTTCCTGTAAAGTTTTAAATCTCATTTAGACTATCAAAGTCACTCAACAATCAAAATGTGAGAGTATAGAGAAAATGCAAAAGAAACCTCTGTAGTAAGTCTTTCCACAATCCTCATTCCCAATAGCAACATACTTCAATTCAAAAGGCTCTTGGCGTCCCATTGCAGCTCGAACCGATCCCCATGTAGAGTTAGCATCTCCCCTAGCAAACTCTATTCCATCAAGTGCTTCCTGATAAAGAGAAGAGGAAGAAGTTTTGAGTTTCTAGCTTCTTGGATAGTGAAACAGAGGAGAGGTTTTTAGAGTCATACTTGAACAAAAGGCATGATACTAGCAGTTTCAACTTCATCATTGTGACTAATACCATTGTTGAACACCCATATTGGGGCTGCTCCAATGTCTTCTGCCAACTACAAGAATGTTCATTTTAACATTTTGATTAGAGCCTAAGCAATCATTACAGATCCAAAACTACAAAGAAGTCTCACTTGAAAGAACTCAAAGTGGCCAAGGCCATCATCAGTCCAATACTTCCAAACATCACCAAAGTGTCCTGATCTCTCTTCCCAAGGTCCAACGGTTTCTTTCCAGCGGAATGCATTACTTAACCATTCACCCTCCACAAAACAACCACCTAAAAGTCCACAAAAAGTCAGAGTGAATAAATAAACAAATTTTATGTGTGTCTACTAGTCTTATATATTATTACCTGGGAAACGGATGAAACGGGGTTTTATATCGGCCATCATCTGGTAAAGATCGTTTCTAAAACCATGTCCCTGCAACCAAGGAAGAGAGATTGGACATTTGTTGTCTTTTTAAGGCTGGGCTATATAGAGAAACAGAAAGAACCTTGTAAGTATCCACCGGCATGGCAGAGACTTGATCAATCCATATTGACCCTTTCTTGGTTGTTGTTAACTGAAGTCTTGCACCATGATCTGTCTCTTTTGCCTCCAAAATAACCTCCTTCTTAGTCCATTTCGAAACATCGGAAGCAGACGCTCTACAATGAAACAAATGGTCAATGAAACCAAAACAGAAACGATAAAGAATCTGAAAGTGTTCCTCACATGATCTTTTCAGACGCAAGAGTCAACGATCCATTAGAACTCGTCAAGGACACAGACAGATCGAGATCACTAGTAGAACGCACATAAAGAGCCACCTTATACTTTTTTCCTTCTTCAATATTCTAAAGAAAATGAAAAAAAGAAGTTAACAACTTAACTCATACTCTTGACACAATAGAAAGACTCACCATGCCCCAGTAACCAGGGTTATAAACTCCAACACCTCCTGTTGGACAGCCTTTGCTATTACAATGCACATCCATTCTTAATGCGATTTTATTACGTTCAAAGCAAGATGAACGGTCTGTAGCTACATATATGGATGAATGATCACCAACAATGGACCAAGGCCAAATATTAGACGGTGTGTTCTGTCCACCAGCTTCAAACCCTGTAAGCCAAAAGTTATTTTGCTTAGAATAAATTACTGAAGCTAGGCCTGGGATTTTGAATTGAACCAACCAGACCAAAAAACCGAACTAACCGAATTTAACCAAATTTATCCGGAATTTTAACAGAATTAAACCAAAATCTAACAAAAGTCAAAAACTTGGGTAGGATTTTCAAAAACCAAACTAACCAAATACCAAACCAAACTTCATTTCGGATTTAATTTAGTAAGATTTATGTTGAACCAAACTAACCGTAAACCGAACAATATAAACCAAATAACCCGAACTAAACGAACCCACATGCCTAACTGAAGCTTAACAAATGATTAATTTCCATGTCTTTTCACTATTCTAACCTCTGTTGCTAACAAGTTCGGCCCATAATCCACCAGCACCAGCATGGTTTATCTCCTGCAAATGATTTGAACCATATATAGCATTAAGAAAAACTCAAGTCTAAAACCATAGTTTGACCATTTTGGAGGCTTAGTAACATTAACAAACCTCAAAGAAAATTCCGAAAAGAGTTTCAGGGATGAGTCTTCCAGCTCCATTAGAAGCATTGACTTGCAACGTCACAGCTGGTTTAGTATCTTCTTGAGCGACAACACCACGAAGGCTTTGATAGACAAAGCAAAAGCCAAGGAGGAAAGAAAGTATGCAAACACTTCTGAGAAATTTCCAAGACTCCGAATCCATATTATTCACCACATGCAAAACAATACCAAAAGTAGCTTCCTGTAAGAAAACATTTATAGAAAGGTTGTAACTTTATTCAGCTCAAAGCTGTTAACATAAGAAAGTATCAATGCCACATAAGCTAATCACCAAAAAAAAAACAAAGAGGAATCTGATATAAAGATTTAAGTTTTTATATTAAAAATTTTGATTAGAACTTGTTTACAGAAAACTGAATCAAATTGGTTTCTTTAGATCAGACACATAAAAAAAAAAGAAACTCAATTTCAGATCTTATTATTAGTCTTAATTCTTAAAGTTAGAGACTTTGTATCCGGTTGATAAATCAGAGTAATTAATTTAGAATCATAAGACATAAACAGAGAATCAACAACAAGAAAATGGAAAGGAAACCTGGAAATCAAGAAAGACAAAAGGGATTGGTGGAGAGACAAGAGATGAGTGAAGGATCAGACAGAAGAGGAGTGGAAGTATAAGAATGTCTGGTCGAGAGATATTTGCTTAAGAGTGAGTTAAGGAAAACTTGCTTTCACGTTTGATGGAGATTTTGCTTGTTTTTGTGGAATGGAAGAAGGTGGATGTTGGTTAGAAGCGACGACTAATGAAACCCCACCTGCTCTCATCGCTTTATTCTTATGGATAAAGTTTGTATTTTATTTTTATTTTTGGATAATGATTAGGTCTCCTATTAAACTGTCCCCCTATATCAATGGCTTTTAGTGGGATGATCTGTTTCTTTAGTAAAGGTTCATACGATTATAAATAAATTCATGTCAACTACCAAAAAATAGTTATTTCTTTCCCCCACACATTATTAAAAATGATATAACTTTGTAGTTTGTAAATTTTCTAATTTCTAAGTACTTTGTTTACATTTGGAATATAATAAGAATGCTATGTAACTATAAAAAATTTCCAAGTCTTTGCAGGCTCCACAAAGCACATGTACTATAGAATGTTATGTAAGAACGAGATGATGTTTAAGTTTCACATTTGTTGTGTTGTGGAATATTAGAGATAGCTTGCAAAGCAAGATATGTATCTTCTATATCAACATTAAATCCTGATAATGAATTGAATCCTATATGAAATCTAGGCCAAATAATACTCTTTTTTTTTATAAATCCTATTAGGATAAAGATTTTGTTATTTGATAGGATAGTATATGATAATATTCCAATTAATTATTATGATAATGTTAATCTTAATTACATTTATCTAATATAAAACAACTTTTAACGACAACACAAGGTTTCCCAAATTCTTTATTTTTTTCCTTCATCGTCAAGTTTAGCTAGGTTTTTGCTCGTGAGAAAAGATCTTAAGTATGCTCGAAGAAGAAGCCGCAACTTGTGAAGAAATTAATGAAAATATTTGCGAAGACATGATTAGTGTTTCACCCGATACTTTACTTGTGCAAATATTGTCGCTTCTTCCTACTAAAGATGCAGTGGCTACCTCGATTTTGTCAAAACCATGGCGTTACATCTGGACTTTGTTACCTAAACTCGTCTTCAATGATACAAACAAGACTAAGAGCTTTAAACTCAGTTCAAGATTCAATTTACAATCTTCAGCAAAGCCTATAAACTATCCTAAGAGACTCTACACTTGCAATACTCTCAAGGAATTGACTCTCGCAACCTAGATTCTTGTAGCTGTTCCTTCCCAAGCTTTCCTCCCGTCTCTTATGAAGTTGGAGCTTCTCGGAGTTGTGTATAAGGACGAGGATTCGCTTGTTAGGCTTTTGTCAAGTTGTCATGCTCTCCAAACTCTGAATGTGCAACGAAATAGGGATGACAATGTGATAAAGTTTAGTGTGAGAGTGCCTTCTTTGAAAACATTAGTTTATGTTAATCTTCTTAATAGTGGTGGATCTTTGATTATAGATACCCCACGGTTGAAGTATTTTGAAATCAATGATTCTTCTGAAGATGATTTATTGATTGAGTGTATGAATCCTAGCCTTGTCATGGCTAGTGTACACGTTACTTCTCACCTGAATGAACTTTTCTTGAGATCTCTTTCCTCTGTCTTGTTTCTCAACATTACTTTGATCTATGCAACGGTAAGTTTACATTAATTTCCCTCGTTTTGTGGTCATATTGTTTTTTTTTTGATAAACCCTATCGGCTGATCTGGTCGGTCCTGGGAAGTTTTGTGGTCATATTGATGCATCTACTTAATTATTTTAATTTTTTGAAATTGTTTTCAGGAAGTATTATGTAGTGCCACCAACTTCTCTCAACTGATAGAGTGTAAGCTACGTCCATGTGGCTCAGACTATTGGGTAGAATCAGTTATGATGCTGCTTCACAACTCTCCTAAACTTAAAGTTCTTATGATAAGTTCTGTAAGTACACATTCCTCACTCCCTCAAGCAGGTTTTGATACTAAGTTAAAATGTGTTTATAATATATATATTTGTTGCTGATTTTTCAGGAGGATATATATGAATCCAGAGATCTCCCTCTTCAAAGTTCTGTTTCAGGATGCTTGTTGTCTACTCTTGAGGTTTTTGAATGGAAAGAATATGGAGGGACGAGACAAGAGAAACATCTTTTGACTTATATACTTGAAAACTCAAAGTGTTTGAAGACAGCAGGAATCTCCATCATGTCTTGCTACTTTGATTTTCAGAAAGAGATGATAAAAGAGGAGTTAAAATCGATATCAAGGGTTTCAGTAACTTCTCAGCTTTTGTTCTCTGTTAATTATAAATGGAGATCACTAGCAGAACATCTTGTTTTTTGACTTGTTTTAGTTAGGCTTACGTTCCATTACTTAAAAAAGAAACTACATACTATGTTCTTGTGAATTTAGTTTTGCTTCGTTGTTGTTTTTTTACTACTGATTCTTGCAGTTACACATTTAGTCTGGTTTTCAACCGATAAATTGTCATAATTAATATCATATCTAGGGTTATATAACCTGATCTCATAGGGTTTCATTTATCTGATCTTTTCTCAAGAAAAATATCTTTAAAGATGTCAGTAGAAGCTGGAAACAGTAAGTACCTTCCTTAAACAAGTGTTGATTTTAATTAAACTACAAATGTGTTTGGTTTTTACTTCTTCCTCCTTGGTTCGTTCTCAGGGCTATACCGCTTACTATCCACATCTGTGCCGGTATGCTTGTTTTCTCATCTTGAGATCTTGGAGTGGTTTCCTTTCTATTGTATCATCGTATTATCATGGCAACTTCCATTTCCTAAATTTTGTTTTATTTACAAGTCTTGGAAATGCAACAACATAGTAAATATAGTTTGCGCATGTCTATAGAACTTTTTGTATGATCAGTTTGCTTCCGGTTTTCAAAACAGACACAAATCTTGTCTTGTTGGTCTAAACCTTGAAAGAGCTTTTCGCTTCGGACACGAAATGCAAGTAGACAATCTACAAATGAGTTTCACCAAGACACAACATATTTTCACAAGAAAACTTATAGCTAAAACTAAAGAGAACATGGAATCTTCTAATGTGATCTTGAATTTGAACTTTCGCTAATTTGAAGCTTGAAGACGAGGGAGAGAAACCATGCATGCATCCGGACTAGAATTTGATTATATCATAGTCCCAATTAATGCATGCATAACAACAAAATAAGTTAAAACAAACTTTTACATCTTCATAACTATATACAGCCTAGAGTGGCGTTTTTATGTAACTTTCATATATATATATATATTTATATTAGGATGAATTTACATCATTGAATGTTCACAAGCATTAATTTTTTAATCATTTCATTGGAAGATTAGTAAAGATTTTGTAGTTGATTCATAAACTTTCCATGTTTGAGAGATTTATAGTACAATTATCCAAACTATATAACTTCCAAATAAATAGTTTCTAAAAAGCTATTAAGAAAAAAAGGAGTAACATGTTGTGAATAGCACGCGCCGAGGTCAGCGCCGGTGTTGAGTCTTGTAATGTGATTTGAGAGAATCTCATGTAATAAAAAGACATAACAAAAATAAATGTAAAATTCGGTTAAGTACTCAAAAATCAATTCAAAAGCTGAGAAAGAAAGATCCACCTCGAACTTCTCTCCATCTTTCTCAATCATCATCAACTTCTCTCCATCTTTCTCAATCATCATCTCTTCTCAGATTCCCACTCTCTCCCTCTCTCTCTCGTCTTCTTCAAGCCCAGAGAGTGAAAAAAAAAGTCTGAACCTTTACTCATTTTCCAGGAAAAAAAAAAGTTTCGTCCTTTCTTTCTCTCAAGATCGAATTTTGATACTCTCAAGCCAAAGGGTTAAAAAAAGTTTGAAGCTTTTATCGCTTTTTTTCCTCAAAATTTGTAATTTTCCGGGAAAAAAAAAAGTTTCTACCTTTCTTGCCGGAGAGATAAATGAGAGAAGACGACACAGACTGGTTCACAAGATGGGAAGAAGAGCTTCCATCACCCGAAGACCTCATCCCCTTATCCCAATCTCTCATCTCTCCCGATCTCGCTCTCGCCTTCAACATCCACCTCCCTAACAACCAACCTCCTCCTCCTCCTCCTCCGCCGTCATCACAAGCCAACTCCTCCGCAGAATTCGCTGCAGACTCAGCAGATCTAGGCTCCGGCGCCACCACCACCACCGGCGCCGGAGACGAGCCGGCGCGGACCCTGAAACGCCCTCGTCTAGTCTGGACCCCGCAGCTCCACAAACGCTTCGTCGACGCGGTGGCGCATCTCGGGATCAAGAACGCTGTCCCCAAGACGATTATGCAGCTTATGAGCGTTGATGGGTTGACTAGAGAGAACGTGGCGAGTCATTTGCAGAAGTATAGGCTTTACTTGAAGAGGATGCAAGGTTTGTCTTCGGGCGGGTCGGATCCCGCGGCGGATCGGTTGTTCGCTAGCTCACCCGTTCCGGCTCATTTCTTACACCCGAACCGTGTTCCGAGTTCGGACCATTTTATGCCGGCGGCTTTTGTCCCGGTCGTGACGCTTCAACAGCAGCAGCAGATGGCCGCGGTTGCTGCTGCAGCCGCGGCTCATCTGCAACCGCCGCCTCAGTTTCACCACCGGCAAATCGCGGCGGCGGCGCATTTTGGGTCTCAGACCACGAACGGGCAGTTTAGTTCGGTGATGGCGAGTGGGAAGTTTGATCAGTCGTTCTTGGCGAGGCAACCGCAGTTGCCTCAGCAGACGGTTCAGAGAATGGCTACACCATTGTTGCATAGTCCGGTTGGTAATTATGTTGAGGATTTGGAGTCTGCAAACGCTAATGGAGGAAGAACAGTGTTGACTTTGTTCCCAACTCGAGATGATTAGAATCTAAATCTAATCTTCCTGTAAAAAAGACATGATTAATGTAAGCCTTGTGACTATTTCATTTTGAATCCTTTGTATGTTCAAAGTGTAGTCTTACAAGAACAATGATACAAGGTGTATGCAGTCTTTATCAGTTAACATTGATGCAATGTGATGCCGTTATGTGTCTGAATCTACTTTATGATTATTTGTAAAGATGAGTTCTTGTACATTTCTATGTACACACTCAAGGTTGGGAAAAGGAAATTTAGAATTGTACATCACAATGTTCTTTGTTTCTAATTTTATACTGCAGCTATTAAAACTGTTTGTACCATTTGCCTCATCTATAAGTTTTAGAATACAAGAATCTAATCTGAATATGGTAATTGTTCATTAAATGTGTTAATTGGGGAAGATCATTTTATCTGTGTGATTGACCAATAATAATAGTCATGGATGTAATAGTACAGTGTACAAATGGCATGAAGCAACCGATCAGCAAAAAGAGATAATGGGATGCAGAATCAGAATTCAGGATCTGATGCTCTCACTTCCTCCTTAATCATACCAAACTTATTATTAAATTTTATATATGCATATGGAATCATTGAAGGGACCAAACCCAATAGAAATATTTCTATAGTTTTATATTTGTGTTGCTTCTATAATGAAGGTTCAATTATTTGGGAGGGGAATGATTTTAAAGCAATAGTGGTGGGATCATAGCTGGCATGTCCTGATCTTGTCTCACCAAGTCAGGCCCCATTCTTTGCATTTTTGCTCTTAAACTACTAAATAAAGATTATACAATTATAAATAGTAATGTTTTTTTGTAAAAACTTGTTGGACTCGTTAACCGTTAATATCAAATTTATTCACATAAAGAGTGTGTATTTCTTTTTTTCATTATATCCCAATTTTCCTGACTACAAATTAGTTTCGACAAAATGATCAAAAATCCAATATATTAATTAAAACCTTAATCCAGAATAAATGTTGATTCAAAATAAAGGTCAAATCGATGCTTAAACTAAAATCAATTACTGATGATCCAAAGTCGGATCGTGTGATATGAGACCATTGGTCAAAAGAGTACGAGTGATTGATGATTATTCGTTTGGGAACTTTGTGAAACTAGTTGTCTTCGTACTTAGAAAAGGACCTTCCAAGTCTTCACCACCTCACATTCATATGTAAACAAAACAAACAAAAACAATAAAACGTGAAACACTGACCACATGAGAACCTTTTTTCTACAAAAAGTCTCATTCAAGAACCAGTTGGTTCACACCACGGAGAGGAAACGCCATCATTAAAGATTGGTTTTAAACATAGTCTAAGGTTTCGTGATATATAATTGAGAGAGAGATACAAAAAGGGAGAGAGTAAAGATGTCTTGTTATATAAGAAAGAAGTAGCCAATTGTTTGGAACAGAACAGAGAGAGCTCCTAAAGGCTAACATCTATAGAATCTGTTACTGTTTTTTTTTTTCATACAGATACTGATGTACTCACAACACTAGTCGTCAGGGATTGCTTGCTGAAGGATGTCTGCAGGGTTAAAGAAGAGTAAGCAACGATAATGAGTCATAATCAAAATGGCCATAACAGCAACTTAGTATGAGTAACCAAAAAAGATTCGTCTCTGGACCGTGCAATGACTGCGCATAGTTCATAGCTGGTGAGTTTGGCCACGGTGCATAACCAGCAGCGGCGTGATTAATAAAGGGACTCATAACCGGATGAGTGTAGTGTAGATTAGCTTGCTGACCTCTTGGCATCTGCGGGAAACCCCCATCATGAAACGGTATGTGGATTGGCATCGGATTGAAGCTTTGACCAGACGGCATAACCCTAACGTACCTACAAGAACAAAGACATCACACTCAGCAAAAGCGAACACCTCTCAAGTGTCACCGTTTAAGAGATGAAGAGGTATTTTACCTGTATGCAGGATCCACCACATATCTGTCATAGCTCCTGTCATAATCCGGATCATATCGATCTTTCTCTCTATCTCTGATAATAGCTACTCTAGAAGTCCTCGAACCAGCATCAACAGAACTATCAGTAACCGCCACCTCAGCCTCATTTCGGTTTACACAAGTGTTACTCCCTTCAAGACTCGGAGCTCGTAGTGACAAAGAATCTTCAGAGTCAGAACTACTAGGACTATTAAAAATCCTCGCTCTAGCCTTATCATACTCCTCTTTCCTCTCCTCAACACTCCTCAGCATATTCTGCTTCACCCCTGACCCATTCTCTCCACAGCCAGAACCTCTCTTGGGTCTAGCCTTGATCGCAATCTTGAACCCCTCTAATCCACCATTCTCAGGCTGCTTAACAGGAATCTCAGATAAACATACACAAGGAAACCTACTCTCCCCTGTCTTCGTCACCAAGATTCTGTTATCAGACCCATCTAGAGCACCGTTTCCGTTCTCCAACGCCATGGTTACTAGCCCATAATGCTGAGCGACTCGGTGTGCAGCGAGACGTAAGTAAGATGTTGGAAAAGGCGGGAACTCGAAGTGGAGCTGGTCAGGGTTTTGAAAGAACTTTTGAATGTCTAGCTCCATCCTCAATACTATAAACAAACATATAAGCAAAAAAAAAGCAAACTTTACTATCACCACCCATCAACAAAACTTAAGGAAGAATCTTTCCATATATAGAAAGTCAAACATTTTTGGAATTTTTTTTAAAAAAAGTGTTGACATTTGAGGATAATATGCAAATCTGAGTGTGATGATGATTCAAGCTTCAATGTTCATGTTTGATTCTGATTTAAATCTAATCGTGAAGCATTAAAGCCAAACCCTAATTCCTCTAATTCAATCAAACCCGCAAAATCAGATCAGTTCGAAGATAGAGGAAGTGAAATTGAGTGGTGGGTTTGGGAGAGAATTGACTAACTGGTGAGACGGTGACGTGGATTCTGGAGAGCTTCGACTAGAAAAGGATCCACCATAGCTTCCTTCTCTGTTATAGCGGAGGCCATGGATAGCTTCTCTCTATCTTCCTCCTCTGGATCTTTTTGGTTTGGCTTCTCTCTCGCTGGAGATTAGAAGAGAAGACGTGTCAACGGTAGAGAAGGAGATTATTATTTCCGATGAGCATTCTGAGAGAGAGAGAGGCGAGACGATGATGATGAAGGACGATGAAAAGACCTTTCTTTATCTCTCTCTATCGCAATCAAGTGGGAATAATAATTAAGAAAAGTTGCGGCATTTGAGTATTTGTATTCGTTTATATTTGTTTTTTTTTTGCTTGTGTGGACTATTTGATTAATGAGTACAGTTTTTTAAAATGTTAGCAGAAGTGGGTTTTGTAAAGTTTAATTTGGTGGAATCATATAATATACTAATAGAGGTTTAATCTTCTTCTAGACGTTGGGTTGGTGTGACATTTCAATCTTCATGGTGAATCGTTACAGCATCATTATTAATCTAGAGTTTTTAGAGTTGGATTCTTAGTGAAATTTAAGAAATTATTTTTAATTTTTAACTAAAAACTAAAAAACTAGTTTTTAAATAAAAATTTTAAGAACCGGTTCTTAACATTTTTAGTTAAAAATTAAGAAATAGTTTTTTAATATCCAATAAGAACTCCATCTTAAAAATTTTGAGTTAATCATGGTCTTAAGTTTGTCAAAGTGATTTGTTATTAAGTTTGTCAAAGTGATTTGTTAATTAATTTAATTCAGGTGAACTATTTTCCAAGAAATGTAATATCATAGGCAAATATAAAGTTTAGGCCTTTTAGTAAAGAAAATCTTTGGGCCCTTCCTTTAACTTTTAACTAAAATCTTTAAATTGATAATGGACCCATTGTTTAGGTCTCTCTTGCCTATCCCTTTGATGATGGGATTGAAAAATGTAACCTTTGTTGAATTTCCACCTCCTTACAAGATGATATTGTCTGGTCAAAAGACTCAAAACTAAACGCAGATTTTATTAAAGTAAAATCAGCACAAACGGCTTGGGCGTTAGCAAAAAAAGTTCATTACATCCTACACGGCCTCTTCTGATTGGATACAATAAAAAACATCCACCAGAGGTTACAACTTGGAACACAAAGCTTTATAACTCTTTCTAGCCGAATAACGTAAATAGTAGTAACCTTTAACTCATCATCTCCCTCTGTCACTATTTCTCTCAAACAATGGCATCACCGTTACTAGTCATTGCTTTGGTTTGCCTCGCAGGCGGTGGCTCTCTTTTACCGGCGGTGGAAGCTATATGGTTAACGATTCCAAGTAAGGGCGATAAATGCGTCTACGAAGACATCCAAGCCAACGTGGTCGTCGTCGCCGACTTCCTTTGCATTGATCAAGATAACGAAGCGGGACTTGGTCCTACAGTTGATATTCGGGTATGTATATATACCTAAATAATTATTCACAACCATATATATACTACATTGTTCTTCGTATTTTATTTTATTTTACTATCAATAAAATGTTGATTTAGCAAAACACTAGAGATAGTGATAATTAGGTCTGGGCGTTCGGGTATCTGTTGGCATTCGGGTCGGGTTTTTTCGGATTCCGGTTCTATTTTATAACACCTCCTAGATCCCATTTTTAAAACAAGTATGGGTCGGGTTCGGATATAACAAATCGGTTTCGGTCGGTTTTGTATCAGATCCTAAAACTCATAAAGTAATCATATATCATTTGGATTCGGGTTATATCGGATCGACTCGGATATACCCGAAATAAAATCCAAAATTTAAAAGCAAAACATGAAAAATATATACTTATTCATAAGTAATTGAGCATTTAAGGTACTTATATAAAATTTTAAATATTTATTGTTAGATATCATATTAAAATAAATAGATTTATAACTTCTTGTATAGTATTGGTAGCATAAAGAGGACTCGGTTATATATAAATTAATTCATGCATGTGTTTGTTATAGGTAACATCAGCATACGGGAATGAAGTGTACAAGAAAACAAACGTGACGCAAGGTCGGTTTGCGTTTACAACGACCGAGAGCGGAACATACTTAGCTTGTTTAAGGATGCATCACGATCAGACACATTACAAAGTCGATAACACCACTGCTATCGTCAATCTTGACTGGAAGATGGGTATCGGTACTAAAGACTGGGATGCTGTTGCTAAGAAAGAAAAGATCGAGGCAATTCCTTAATTAATTACAAATTAATTAATAGTTCATATATATATATTACAATATTATTCCCGCAAAAACTAAATTCATGTGAGTGAATATATATTGTTTGTAGGGTGTAGAACTTGAGCTTCGAAAATCTGCAGAACGTATAGGTGAAATTAAGGCTAACATTTTCTATCTAAGATTCAGGTTATTTAACTATCATCTCAGTTTTCTATGTAGACTCTTATCTTTCTCTCTTTCATTTTATCAATATTTTCTCTATTACTTGATATACGATTTATGTTTTGTGTTGTGTTGTGTTGTTAATTATGATCAAATTGCAGGGAAGCATCTATGAGGGAGATAAATGAGAAGACTAATAAGAGAGTTGCGCAACTTAGCTTTGTGTCTTTAGGTCTCTGTCTTATCGTTTCAGTTTTTCAAGTTTGGCATCTCAAACGCTTCTTTTTCAAGAAGAAGCTTATCTAAGTTAATGGTTCTATATTAACCTGTGACTTTCTTGGGGGTTAGTGTTACTATATGGTCATACAACGTCAACAAAGAAACATGTGTTTAATTTACGTCCACAATTTATCAGTCGCGGAACCTATAATATAGTACTATTAGGAAAGAGCATTCATCATATCTAATATTTTTTAAAAAAAAATCACATCGGCCAAAAGATCATATGGACATGTATGTACATCTAATTCATCTATCACAAAGTTGTGATAAATCCCTCTGGTTTGTATTAAGTGGTAAATGTTTACGTCAGAGAGCTATAACTTTGTTTTTGACTGGTGAAGGTGAACACGTTAAGATGTCAGTGAAGTTAATAAGTTAACAAACGATTAAGGCATTGATGACAAATGAAAACAATCATGATGGCGTTAATTATGTTGTTACGGGACTTACATTTACTAAATTTCATCGTCTTTAGCTTTTGATATTGATCGATAACTAATTGGAATGGCCATGTTGCTAACGTGGTAACTATTTGGAATGACCACCGCCGCGTGTGACACTGTGGTTCACGTGGATCACCTAATTAGTTCGGTTGCCGAAAGTTGAGATGCCATATGAATCTTGTGCCTCGATCCGTTGGTACATGTATGACACTCAAAAGCAGTTCAAAAGTATGCAATCTCACAGAGAATTCTTCATACAAGAAAAGAAGAGAAGTCTCTTGCCAAGAGATATGGGATTAAAGTATGTTCAATGGTTAGAACCCATTAGAAGTTTTAATGATTAGATTAATTGTTAATTTTACAAATTTTGAAAGTTAGAATTTTTGGTCATTTAATTAAATTTGTGATGGTCCAATGGAAGAATTACTTTTTTTTTTGTTTGGAAAAATTCCATTGAGATTCTTAAACTTTTTTTGTTTTTTGTTTTTTTCTATTTTAGAAACTGAATTATTAAATTTAAATTTTCTAAAATTTATAAATCATTGGATTTCATAAAATTTAAACAAATATGACATAAAAACATATTCCCTTCGTTCCTAAAAAATATATATTATAGAAAAAAAATTGTTCCAAAATGATGTATCTTTTACTTTTTCAATGAATAATTTAATGAAAAATTGTAAGTTTCAAAAATAATAATGATGTTTATTGAGATTCTATTGGTTAAAAGTTATGGAAAATTGTTATTCACAAAAGAAAATACATTTACAATAAAAATTATATAAATTTTTTTAATATTTGTGAAAATTCTAGAACATGAATTATTTAGGAACAGTATTAAAATAGAAATATGTTATGGACCATATCGTTAATGCCCTCTTCGAAGCTACAAAGCCCATAAAGAAACCAAACAAACACGTGTGGTTGTATAACAACCTCGAGAGCGGTTGTATAACAACCTCGAGAACTCCGTGCTCTGAAATTCGATATACACGCGCATCCACCGCGTGGAATTAAAATATTCTTTTCCCCGTTTGTTAAGTAACTTAGTCAACGTCGTCTCTCTTCTTCCCAAAATAAAACGTGTGGGGAATCATCCAGAACAGAAAAAAAAAAAAGCCAAAACCTAAAAAAAAACTCAACCACCGGTGATGATGACGACGGAGTCCACATTCGCTGATCCACCGGAGATGATCTCAATCCCGCCGCTAGATCCTCTCTTCCTCTCCGCCTCCGATCCAATTTCCGATCTAACCTTCTTCCTCGACGGTGACGAGAACGTAGATCTCGCAGATTTCGATTTCGATTTCAAATTCGACGATTCGGATGATCTCCTCAACTTCAACCTCGACGACGCGGAATTCCCCGCCGTGATCTCAGAGGAGTTCGGTAACTCTGGAGATCAGAGTCCAGAAGCGATTCAAAACCATAAGAATCTCGATTCATCGGAGACTAAGAACGTCGAGCGATCTGATTCCGTTAATTCTCAGGTCTCATCACAAGGCTCGAAGACGTTAGGTTGCGACACGTCATCCTCCCCAGAGAAATCTTCTCCCGTGAGCAAGAGGAAGAAAGGAGACTCAGGAGGAGAATACAGAAGCTTCAAGTACCAAAAATCGGACGATAACAAATCAGCTTCTCCTCCTGTTGAGGAGGACGACGAGAAGAAGAAGGTGAGGCTGATTAGGAACCGTGAGAGCGCTCAGCTTTCGAGGCTGAGGAAGAAGCAATACGTTGAGGAGCTTCAAGGGAAAGTCAAGAGTATGAATTCGACTATCGCTGAGTTGAATGGGAAGATATCTTATGTTATGGCTGAGAACGCAGCGTTAAAGCAACAGATGGCTGCTGCTGGTGGTGGTGTTCCTCCGATGAATCCTTATATGGCTGCACCGATGTTACCTTATCAGTGGATGCCGTATCCGCCGTATCGATATGGATCACAGGCTCCGTTGGTTCCTATTCCTAGGTGGGATCCTAAGCCTAAGGCTAAGGTGGAGAGTAAGAAGAGTGGAGGGAAAAGCAAGGTTAAGAAGGTTGCTAGTGTTAGTTTTATTGGGATTTTGTTTTTTATGTTCTTGTTTGGTATGTTGTTTCCGTTTATGAATGTTAACGATGGAGGAGATGGTGGAGGTTTTGGTGGTTTGTCTAAGTATGAGGGTCGTAGTTATTATGATGAACATAGAGGGAAGGTTCTTATGGTTGGTGATGGGTCTGATGTTAGGAGAGGAAGTGTCCATTCTAGTAGAGATAGTTGTGGGGGAGTAGAAGGACGACTGAGCAATTCTAGTGAGCCTCTCTTTGCTTCTCTCTATGTTCCAAGGAACGATGGGCTTGTGAAGATTGATGGGAACTTGATTATTCATTCTGTTTTGGCTAGCGAGAAAGCTAAGAATGTCTCTGAAACGATGAAAACTAAAGAACCTGAGTTGATGGTTCCTGGTGCTCTGTCTTCTGCTTTAGCTGTTCCTGATGTCAGAGGAAATGGGGCAATGCTTCCACATACTTCCAAAGCTCTCTCTTCTGGTTCGCCTGATGGGAAAAGACTTCACCAGTGGTTTCATGAAGGTGGCGCAGGTAAACAACTTTGGTGCTCTTCTTGTCTAAGTGGTATAGTCTTAAGAGCTAACCCTTTGCTTGCATCTATTGTAGGGACGCTAATGGATTATAGCATGTGCACCGAGGTGTTCCAGTTCGATATTTCTCCAGGTGCTATAGTCCCATCATCAGTCTCCAACATTACAAGGGAGCATCTCCAAAATGTCACCACCAGCAGAGACAAGAGAATGAAGAACAGGAGGATTCTCGAGAGGCTTCCGGTTTCACGTTTGGCATCTGAGCTCAACATTACGGAAGCTCAGGCGAGCAAAGACGCCCAGAACAAGAGCTTTAATGGGAAAGCTAATACCAAACCCACATCATCATCAATGGTGGTTTCAGTGTTGCTTGATCCAAGGGAGGTCGTTGACTCTGAAACTGATAGAGTCATTCCCTCAAACCCGAAGTCACTGTCCCGGATCTTTGTGGTGGTGCTTCTAGACAGTGTTAAGTACGTTACCTACTCATGTGTTCTTCCCCGGTCAGGTCTCCATCTTGTGGCCACCTGATTCGAGAATAGCTCGTTTTTTTTTTTACTTATTTTGACCCAAAGTAGACGAACATCGACTTGTTTATATACAAATATACCTTTATGACTCTTTTTTCCCTGTGTTGTAAAACTCGGTGTTTTTAAGTTTTCGTATTTAATTTTAAGAGAACAATATGAAAATCCTTGCTTTACCGAACTTTTCATTTCAGAAGCATAATATACAAAAAGCTCTTAGAGCATAAAGTAGAAGGCTGCACACTTTTGTGCAGCAACATTCTATAACAACTCTTTATACACTTAAGTTTTGAGTATCCGGTCGAGGGAGAGGAGGAGGTTCTGATACAATGTACTAGACATGTTAATGCCATTATTCACGAAGCCAGGGAGCTATCAGCATGAGTAGAACAATCCATGGTATAGCTGGTAAGTTCAAATTAGCTGCAGCCAAAGACACAAAGAAAAGGGCTCTTATAATTTGATATCTCCTGCTAAATTGGATAATTGTTTATGTAGAAACTTACATGAAGAGGTCTGCGGTTGAGGATGAGCAACTTCGTTTGCATGCTGCTGTTCACTTGGTTTGGGTTTCGGTGGTTGAGCTTGATGGGCAAACACCACATGAGGTAGAGGGGCAGAGACTGGAACTATACGAGGCTTAACTGCAGGAATTGGGGCCGGTGAATGCAGCTTATGATGTGGTGGTCGAGCAGAATAGCGAGGAATAGGATGTGACGCATGTGGTGGCTGAGCAGAATAGCGAGGAGAATGATGTGATGCATGTGGTGGCTGAGCAGAATAGCGAGGAGAACGATGTGATGCAGGGGAAGGAGAAGGCGTAGGAGTAGGTGTAGATGCAAAATGCAAGTGTTTATCCCTGAAATGTACTCTTTGTCCTTTTCTATTCCCTGAGTTGCAGGGTGGAAGTGCAGATGGAGCTCTTCTAGCTCTAGGGTTCCTCTGAGGGACAGGAGAAGCCACAGGTGAAATATCGGGAGCCATGTTTGGGCTAAGCTGATGATGATGATGATGGTGGTGGTGGTGATGATGATGGTGATGATGGCTGTGGTGGTGGTGGTGATGGTGATGGTTGGAATGGGGAGAAGGTGAAGGTGATGGGGATTTGGAGCTGCTATCACTGCTGTTCGGCAAGAAAGACGATAAACGAACTTGCTTGACCTTACCAAAAATGGTATTATTCAAACCAAGGTTTTTCGAGCGTGAACCCGTGATGGTATCCGTCAGTTGCTTCAATCTTGGGTTTGGATTTGAAGTCCCGACTCTTAACAAAACCGATGAGTGAACAGTTGTAGGGGGAAACACCGTGGAACCCTCTGAGTTTGATAAGGTTACGTACAAATTCTGTAATCAGACAAAAGAACAATCAAACTCAACACATTAACACTTACTAAAGTATGCATAACTTCATCATGATTGAAATATTGTGACAAACCTCATACGGTGCGAGATTCAGGCCATTCTTGAGCTGCATAGCAAGGGTATTGAAGTTTATCTGAATCTGATGAATAGAGTAGTTTAGTGTAAAGTTGAAAGAAAGCTTGAACTTCTGTAGAGGGAAAACACTTTGCGGCGGAATCACAGTGATCCCTCCAGGAAACTTTAGAACTTCAAAAAGAAAGGTTTCCCCAAACAAGGGTTTAGTAAGCTGAAGAGTGGATTGGTTTATGAGCACCGATTCAAACATCCCTTTGATAGTACTCAAAGACATAGGTAATATCTCTCTGTATGCTGTATCATGGTCAATTCCAAACACAACCTTTGTTATGTTCAGTCCCTGTGACTCAAGAGCCAGGATAGTTACCTGTTGAAGTCATTTGAAACCAAGTTGTATCAGAAGAGAAACGAGATGCTAAACTGGGATAAAAAATAAACTACAAAAGAAACAGATGAAACATTGTACGTTGATGGAAATGTAGCTCATCTCTTGGAAGATGTCATCCTGAAGCTTCGCAAGTTTTTCTTTAAGGAAAGATTCTGGTCTATTCAGGCTAAAACTCGCTACTACAGCATGACCTGCATCAATAGTGAAAATATATTGTTGCAAGTGTGAGAAATAATCAACAATAAGGAAACAAATAACCAAATCCATGACCTGAAAATGGAGACTATAAACTTAATATTATCTCATGTCCTAGTTGTAAAAAGATGTTTTATGTTATGTTCATTAGTAATGTAGAATCTACAGGTATCTTGACTAAAAGTCAAGAACCGAATGAATGAAAAGTCATCACTACTATGTCAATAACCAACAGCTTCTACTTACAATGCACACAAACATGTAAAACTCTAAGCTAAGAACCAAAACAGCTTCAACTCTTCTCTGATTAGTGACTCTCCTCCTTAATCTCAAAGTCTCGAAAAAATAAACAGCTTTGACTCTTTTTCTCTGACACTAGTTAACAAAGCAAAGAATCATTAACGGTCAAACCTCGTTCCCAAAATAGCTTTGTAATTAAAAGACTCAAATCTACCATGAATCCAAATGCCAAAACAGGAAACTTTCTCAAATACAAAGAAAAAAAGGAACCACCTTTAAATCTGGGATCGAGATACGAATCCACACGATCCACGCCCCCAAAAGGAAGCAACAGAAACAAAGCGGAGAGAAACAAGGAGACGGAGAGAAGCAACACGAAGAGACATTTACACCCAACAAACCCTGAGATCCATTTCAAACACCCACAACAACGATTAGGAGGAGGAGGAGGAGCATTTCTCGCCGTGGAATCGCCGAGAGCTTCTTCTCCGGCGCGGAGGTTTCCGTCATCCTCGGGTTTACCCATTTGAAAGCAGCTTAGGGTTTTTCTGATTCGGTGGGTACAACAACACCCATCGTTTCAGCTTCAATAGAAACCCTAATTCACCAGATTGAGAATGAGAGCTTAACCAGATTCGAATTTTGAAGATTGTGAAAATCGAATTGGATTAGGTTTTGCTTGTCTGATTCCTCCTCTCACACAGCCGAGAAGAAGTGAAGTGAATTTTGCCGATTTTTCCCGAGTTTTATAAATATTTGTTTATTTGTGTATAGTTTGTTTAAATTTTAATTAATTTAGATTTATAGTAATTAATTGTAGTATTTAATACGGCTATTGGGGGAAAGTGAGAGAAATGTAAAGCGTTTGGTCGTGTGGGTGAGACCACCGACAGATTAGTGTGTTGAAGAGTTTCAACTACCAGTGACTAATGGATAACATTCTATAAGATTTAAAAGTTTATATTCTTGGCAGTGACTATTGTTATTGAAAAAACTATCAATTCTTTTCAAAGAATGATCCATCCAAATTTGCTATGGTTAAATTGTTTCTAGTAGTTTTTAATAATTTCAAATTGTTTTGACAAACTTTTAATCAGAAATAAAATAGATTCTTACAGTTTACGGGATTTTATAATAAAAATTCATAACCTTATATAATTAATCTTAAGTAATCTGTTGAGTTGACCAAAAAATATTCTTAAATAATCGAAAAACTGTATTAATAAAACTCAAATCCATACAAATTAGAAATCAACATAAATAGCAAATATTAATAAGCGTCCAATCACAGCAAGAATCTCTCTATTTTGGGCCATATTGTATGAGCTCAAGTAAAGTTTTATGATACAAGGCCGTGGTACTTCAAAGTCCACTTGTTGATGTTGTTCATAACTAGGATTGAACCAACTCGGTTTACACGGACCGAATCGAACAAAACCCAATCAAATATAAAATGGATTGGTGACCCAGGTTATCCGGTTTAAATCGTAACTGTAATTAGTCCTGGGCATTTTATCCTAAACTTGAAAACCGAACAGGAACCAAACCAGAAAACCGACACTAAACTGGACCGAAAATTACAAAAATTCAAACAGTTCCTATTTTTCTAAATTCAAAAAAGCAAAACCGAATTAGAATCGAACCAAAAACCGAACGAGTATCCGAATATTGTAAATAAAATAAAAAATTATTAATTATTTTTAGTTTTAATATATATAAAATATAATTTTTAAATAAAAAATATCCATAAACCCAAATTATCCCTATATTTTCCGAATTTAACTCAGTTTTTCAGTTATTTTTTGTTTTAGGCTTTAAACTCGAACCAAACCGGAACTATTTCTAATTCGGTTCTACATTGGATTTTAAAAAAAATAGAAACCCGACTTCAACCCGACATTATCCAAACCGATCCGATCCAGAAAATTCCTGATTCCTAATCAGTTCCTAAACATCCCAACCCGAATAACTCAAAAACCGAATAATCCAAACCGATCCGAACCAAAAACTCGAATGCGGAGCACTAACTGTAATCGTACCAAAATCGGATTGAAAACATACGCTTCGTTGAGATTTGTTTATTATTTTAGGTCAATTCAGGTGTTCTCGTTAGGGAAAGAGAAGAAGATGGGGAAGCAGCCGGTGAAGTTGAAGGCAGTGGTTTACGCGCTATCTCCGTTTCAGCAGAAGATAATGACCGGACTCTGGAAAGGTCTCCCGGAAAAGATTCACCACAAGGTCTCCGAGAATTGGATCAGCGCCACTCTCCTCCTCACTCCTGTCCTCGGAACCTACTGGTAACTCTCTCTCTCTATGTCTCTTCTTCATCAATACTAAAGATCTGATAGATTAATTGATTGGTCATAGAAAGATAAGAAGTAAGAGTATTAAGCTGATTAGTATTGTTGGTGTAGTGTCACTTTGTCGCTAGTTAATTGATATTATTTGTTTCTCATCTGAGAAGAAAATAACACTAAGTTTTGTTTATACTCTCTCGTAACGTAATCTTCTCGTGCTTAAATCATCTCAAAATACGTAAATGAATGCAGGTATGCTCAGCACTACCAGGAACAGGAGAAACTCGAGCACAGGTTCTGAACCATCAAGTTTTGAAGCCAATCTTCTTTATAAAAATCTTCTGCGTCAGTGATTTTCTGAAACTCTTTTATTGCCAAAATAAATGTTTTATGACAATCACTGTTGGTGTGCATCTTTCTTTGATATGACATTGAATTGAGTGGAATCGTATTCTCAGACAAATGTTCCTTTTTATCAAACGTAACAATGGAGAGAAGCTTTGAGCAAGTAGTAGAAAACTCTCCAGAAACCTATCAATAGCAGAAGACAGAATCAGAGCCCAACATTGTCGGCGACTGTGTGACGTCGAATATGTCTGAGAATGGTGAGAGTTTTCTACTTACCATGAAAAATGAAAATGGTGAGAGTAGTTTAAATCAAACTTTCTCTGGATTCACTTTTCTTCGTTGAATCAAAGAATCTGTAATTAAAAAAGAAAAACAAATCTAACTAAAAAATTCATATAACCTAATGTAGTATAAGCTAAAGAGCACAATTTTGTTTTATTACAGACCGATCGCTAAACCGGTTTTTGAATCAAACTACAACAACAAAAATACACACGCATAAGTACATAACCCTTTTTTTTTGTTCAAAAAGTACATAATCATTTGTGCTTTAGATAGAACCCACAGAAACGGCAGCTTTGATGAGTAAACCGCAGAGAACAAAAGGATTAGAAAAGAAAGGTGAATGGTCACTGTCTATTTCGTAAGCTTGGCTCGGTGGCCACCGTTTCATCATCGCCTCCTGCTGCTCCGGTTTCATCACCCTGTCGTGCAATGTCTTGATGTACACGCGCGGCACCTGCTCCTCCTCTTCTTGTCCTTTTTCTTCTTCCATTTTTGCAGTTGTGAGCGCCAGAATCGGAGCTGGTCTCATCATTAACGCAGCCAACGCACACTCCTTAACATTCACTCGACAAAAAAATCACAGATCATAAGGGCACCAACACTTTTGGATTTGAGCTTTTATAGGAAATGAAACTTATAGAAACCTGTTGAGGACTCATGTTGTAAAGGAGCTTTCGTCGGAACTCGGGTTTGATAAGGGCACTAGTAGGAGGATTTTCGGGTCCTAAACCGAAACCTAGCTCATAGACATCACCATGTTCTGATAGGTCAGGCACTCCCTGTGAAAAAACCACAAAACGTCACACACAAGTTACCTTCATTTTGAAAGAAAGATTTTATTACATCTTTCAAATCTTCATCTGTCTGAAACCCTAATTTGAGCATTGTGGCTGCGATATAAACAGCTAGACAGATCTTCTTAGGGAATCTCTGTATCGAGCTAGTTACACTAAGCCCTCCTGCACTGTGACCCACAAGTACCACCTGATGATAAAAACAAAGAACAGAGAAAACAGATTGAGTTGGCTTCAGGCTCAAGAATCAGTACAATTAGGGTTTATGTGTGTGTCTCTGTGTGTGTGTCTGACCTGTTCTTGTTCGGGTAAGGAGGAGAGGAAGTCGATGAGTGGTTGGTTGTATTGGTCGAAGGAAGTTAAAGAATCAGCAGAGGAAGGATCGATGCCTGAAGATTTTAGGTCGATGCAAGTGACGGTGTAGCCAGAGACTTCGATGAGACACTTGATTTTGTACCAGCACCATGATCCTAAGCTCATGCCGTGTATTAGCACAAAGTGTGGTGGTTTTCCTCTTGGTTTCATCTCTAGGGTGGCTTCTTGATTCTCCTCCGCCATAGATTACGCCGGAGTTTAGCCGGAGATTTTAAATGGTTTTCTTCTGCTGAGTGCTCTGTGATTTTATTCTTTGGGGTCTTTGTCACATATTCACATATGTCAAGCGCATATATAGTGGAAGAGATTTCTTTGCTTCTTTTCCCAGTCATGAGATTTTCTTCTTATTATAACATTTCAATATTATTAGTAATTATTTTACTATTAATGAAATGAGTAGTATATTAATTTTTTTTACAAATTTATCCTGTTATGGTAGTATATCATTAGTTGGAGGGGAAATAAAGCTTTTCATAAAAAGTTTAACAACCAATAGAATGTATATTTAGGTAGAATATGAAGGATACTTTCCTTTGGCAGCTCGTTTTAGAGGTCAGCGAAATCAAGTTATGACTTATTAAACAGATTTGGTGAATATCTACTAGAATAAAGCAATTAAAAAGTGATTTATAAAAAAAAAATATTCGAAACAAAAAGTTACAAGATTTTTATCCAAACGAATAATCTTTTACTATCAATGAAACCCTGGTTCTTTTTACATTTCACGTTTTCGATTTTGCTCTTTATAAAAATTTTCTCTCCAAATGTATTTTTTTTTTTTTTGAAAAAGCCAAATGTATTCTTACGTGTTGTTGTGATCATTTTCATCTCAAACTTGCGTTTGTTCAAATAACTAAATGAACAAGAAAAATGTTTAATTTGTAATAAAATGACATATATATATATATATATATATATATATTAGAATAAAGCAAGTTTATATATATATATATATATATGTACGTATATATTGTATAGGCATATACATTTGTCGATTTGGTTGTGGATGGGACTTTGGTATATGGTCACTTGGTTTATTGCATATTCTTCTTATAGTTGGGATAGTCAATGAGTAATAATTGTCAGTCTGACTTATATATTCTTATATGGTTGGATACTATTTACGTTTCTATTCTCTATACAGTTTATGAATTGTGACGAGTTATAAAAAATATTATTTGTGGTATGGCATAAATAATTCTTGAGTGGGGTTCCAGCTTAATGTTTAGATTGATTTCAAGGTTTACAACCAGACGCTGAGAATGTTATATAAAAACTATATTATGTGATTCTCAATCTCGACTAATAAAGAATTTAGTATTTGATAGCTGGATTCAGTAGTCATCGTTATTTTAAAACGTTACATAGATTAAGGTATGTCACGTGTGTGACATATTTTTAACGACCCATGTTAGATTTATTTGTATATTGCTTTTTTTTTTTGTTCAAATTTGTATATTGAAGCTATTATCCAGTATCTCCATTTTTAGTCAGCATCTACAATTAGTTATGTAGGATAATATCATAATAGTAATAATTTTTCGCTAGAGTTTCTAATGCAAAGAAAAAACGTTCATTGACCAGTTTAATGCTTGCTATAATTATTAAGAAAAACTAAGATTCTTAGACGGAACAATTTAGTTTAATTTTAACAAATGTTACGAAGAACCTATATATTTCTTTTTTTTTCCTATAAGCGCATGTTTAATGATCAGTAAATTTAGAAAATGTATTTGTGACTTTTTTAAACAAAGGCTAAAGACTTGTGTGACTATAATAGTGACTTTTTTTAACAAAGGCTAAAGACTTGTGTGACTTTTGTGCAATTGTTTTCCTTCCTTTTCTGTTTATATGTATTTTGAGAATGAAATATGAAAATTGAATTAAAAACTAAGCATTGATTGAAAAGTGAAAAAAAAAATGATATCCTCCTTTTCAGAGAGTAACTAAAGTCTTTATTCTTCCTTTTCTTGATCTCTCTAGTTTTTCGGTTTGTTTTGTAACTCAACTTGATTTTTTTTAGTTTTCAATTTGTATGGTAGACAAACCAACGCATGAATGAAAATGACAAATTGACATACATGACTTGTGACCATGATTCATGTTGTTATTTTAAATGCATTATTCCTGAGGTTTTTCTACACAAGGCTCTTTAACTTTTTCTCCTCTAACCAATTTTAAGGTGATTTAAAAAAAAAGAAACGTGTAGTCTTTAAAAACCGGATAATCTGCAAGAAAAAAGACGACACAAATAATATATGTGTGTACAAACATATCAATGAATTTATTATGTTTTATACTGAATAATTTTAGGTGCATTCAGCTAAAACTTAGATATTTTTGATAGTTAGAGGAATGGGGAAATGCAATAAGTGAGAGATGACAAATCATGTGCAAAAAAGACATTTGCCAATTGTCACTGTCTTTGTGGACGAAGGAATCAGATTCATGTTGATTATGAACTCTTTTTTTAGTGGAAATAACAATCAGAATGTGTGTGTATATCAAAATCAATTTCTAGTTTTTTTGTAACCAAAATCAATTTACAGTTTCGACAAATAAGATGACTCAAAATAATTATAGTTACCATTAACCATCATCTCTATTTCGTTATAAATGAAATGATTGGTATTTTCATAGTCAACTTCTAACAAATTGTATCGTTAATATAAAAAATTACTATCATTTTGGCCGAAAGTTTATGTAATAGCTTTTTTTTTTTTTTGGTCAAACAAAGCATTGCATTACTACTTGGAGTTTACTCCTCAAAGGAGGATATCAGAACAGAGGAAGCAAGAGCCGCCTTCGCCACCGAATCAGCTTCGGTATTGAAGTTGCGGGAAATAAAACTAAAGGAGATTACATCAAATAAAGCAACAAAGTGATAGATATCAAACATGATACCGAACAGTTCAGGTTGACACTCTCCCATCTTCAAGAGCTTGACGAGGGATGAAGAATCTGATAGAACCGCCAGGGATCGGACGTTTGAATAAACCGCAATCGAGATCGCGTGATGGACAGCTAAGGCCTCGGCCATTAGAGCTGATGAAACATTTCTGTGTACTGCCGACACAGTGGGGAGCAATAACGTATTCTCCCCGGAGAAGATCCCTCCTACACCGCATCTTCCCGATTGAGCATCCCATGCTGCGTCAACCTTGCATACTAAAACCCCCGGACGGCCTGGTGGAGGGGGATTTAGTGATCGGTGATAACCTTGGCTCCGAGATTGAGTTTGCGGGGAGTCTACACCACTTACTGTCTGAGCGCTATCCCATTCCTTCGCATCAGATATACTCTTGGACACTATTTCTTGGGCTGTGAAAGCTCTGTTCTCAAAGGTAAACTTATTCCTAGCTTTCCATAAATTCCATAAAACCCAAGGCCAAAGAGGAGCAGTCAAACCGGTAGGTGGTAGGGGTGTAAATCTGGTACCTTGTTTAAGAAGTTCCGCCACTGAAACCGTGTTTTGTGATGGTCTTTGAGCCACTGGCAAGAGTCTCCAGACCTCCCTTGCCACAGGACAATTAAGGAAGACATGTAAATCATTCTCATGCTCTCCACAAGTTTTACAATTAAAGCTTGGAACTCCTCTTCTTTCAAGATTTGCACTAACTGGAATGGCCTTTTTAATTACTCTCCACAGAAAGTCTTTCAGCTTAGGTCCCGTTTTCACGTTCCAGATATGTTTTAGCCAATGAACTGGTTCTTCCCCTTCAGCCTCGTCCCTGCTGGTTGTGATCCCAATTCCATAACCTGATTTCGTGGAATAAACTCCATTCTTTTCTGGGAGCCACATCATGGTGTCAGTAGAAGGAGTGGAACTTGTTTTTATCTGCAAAATAAACTCCTCATACTGAGGTAAGAGTCTTCTGATTTTGTCTACTTCCCATTTATTAGTTAATGGGCAGAGTAGGTCACTGACTTTCAAAGATAGACTCCCTAATGTTGCAGGTCCCATCGGCAGTGTTGGCTTTTTCAAAGAGAGCCAAGGGTCTGACCAGAGGTGGATAGACTCGCCATCACCTACCACCCATCCTAAGCCCTTCCTCAAAATATCTCTTCCAGCTAAGATGCTTCTCCATCCGTGTGACGCTGAGACCGGGATAGGACAGTTCAAGAAAGAAAAATTCTTGCCATATTTCCCCAATAATACCTGAGCCAAGAGTGACTGAGGTTCCTTAATTAGTCGCCATCCAATTTTCGCAAGCAATGCGTCATTAAATGTCTCGATGTCCCTAAACCCGAGTCCACCGGCATATTTTGGTAGTACCATGGTGTCCCAAGCAACCCAACACATCTTCTTCTTGCCCGGAATAGCATCCCACCAGAACCGAGTAAGTAGGGACTGAATCTGAGAGCATAAGGATGCTGGGAGCTTGAAACAAGACATTGCATAACAAGGCATGGCTGCCAAGACCGATTTTAGCATGATTTGTTTTCCTGCACCCGAAAGGAACCTAGCTGTCCAGCTGTGAGATTTTTGCCTAATCCTATCAAGGATAGAGGCAAAAATATCTCTTTTTCTCCGACCAAACTGTTCGGGTAATCCAAGATATTTCCCTACACCCCCCTCCAGCGAGATCCCCATAGCTTCTTTAACCCGAGCCCTAACCGTAGCAGGGGTTTTGGCGGAGAAGGTTATGGCTGACTTCAGGGGATTAATTTTCTGCCCTGATACCGCTTCGTATGTCTCCAAAATCTTCATGAGGGCCAGTACACAAGATGTTTTTGACTTGCAAAAAAACATGGTGTCGTCGGCAAAGAGCAGGTGATTTATTGACGGACTGTTGCGCGAGACTTTGACACCAGGAAGAGATCCGTCAGCCTGGCCTCTAGCGCATAAAGCAGAGAGGACCTCAGTGCATAGGATAAAAATATGAGGAGACAGCGGATCCCCCTGCCGTAGTCCTCGAGTCGGTTTAACCAGTCCTTGCGGTGCACCATTTATTAAGAAGGAATAAGACACTGATTCAATGCAGGCCATGATCCAAGAAATCCACACGGGGTCAAAACCAAGAAGTGTTAAAACCTCTTTTACAAACCTCCATTCGATCCTATCATAAGCTTTGCTCATGTCAGTTTTCACCGCCATTGTGCATCGTTTCTTGGCTTCGGAGGTCCTGAGGAAATGAAGAGTTTCATGTGTAATAAGCACATTATCTTGGATAGAGCGACCC